ACTAGCAGTTCATCAAGTTCATAATCCACATTCCACAAATGTAATAAAGCCAAAGTGAACTGAAGTAGACACCTTTCAATAGAGCAGATCCACTCATGATATTGTGCAGCATCTCTCTTAGTCACATCAACTTCATTATCTTCAATCACATGGTGCTGACCAGGCAACCCCTTTTCAAGCTCCTTTCTATGAATGCTCACTTTAGTTTCAGTGCCTTGTGTGTGACTATCAATCCTTACCATTTTTGATTGGCTTTTATCAATGTTATCAAACTCACTTCTGAAAGGCTCAGACCTCAGACAAAGAGACATGAGAGCTGTAAGATCAAAAGATAGAGCAGAAATTCCAGGAAATGGACAAAAGCTCTTGATTGGTTGGTTTTTACTTTGGGAGGCAGAAGCAATAGGCCCTGCAGCATTTTCACCATTGACACATGCAGATGTAACACTGTAATTTGTGCTTGTACTAGCAGAAGAGGTCTTTGACGAAGAAATAGCCTTCCCTGAAGTTTGTAAATGAGATTGTGAATGCTTCGTTTCCTCAATAACAGGAAAAAGCATCAAGGAAGCAGACGTATTCCCATAAATCATACAGCCAGGAGGAAGACTTTTGTTGATGCCTAAACAGAAATGTTCAAACATTGATTGGGCAGCAGCTCCACGGAGGACCCTCTCACGAGCCCCAGTTTTCACATCCCATATGTAAAGAATATCAACTCGAGCAGAATCTCCTGTCTGATTTGAACAGAGAGAGGCTATATAGCCTCTCCTACTATCCCACATAACTTTTGAAGGATAAAACGGGTGACCTGGGAACATCCGCTCCACCCGCATAGTGTCAAGTGAAGCAAGGGCAACACATGAATCTTCCCCAACCGAAAGAAAGCAATTATTCCAAGGATGGTCAGTTTGAGGTGGAGGGAGAATAATTTGGCGGACTGGAGCTACATGCTGGTGCATTACCACAAGTGGATTGCTAGAGTCAAGATCCCACACACGAATGGTGCAGTCCATGCTTCCTGACAACAAAATATAAGCAGAAGTCCCTTCCGAAGATTTCCTCAGTTGATGTGCAGCTAAACATAGTACAGCTCCCCTGTGACCGGTGAGATACTGTTCATTTGTGTGTTTCCTTTGACGGGGACTTAGGCTGGGAAAATTTGATTCTTCAAAAAACATGTCAAAACACATTACTTTTATGTCACCATTACAGAAGCCATTAACAACAGCTAAAGGCACATAGTCTTCAGAAATAACCATTGATGAAGATACTAACTCTCTTCTATCACATGAACGATCAGTGTTTGAAACATTATGCTCAGTGGTTTTTGATTTCACTCTAACATCATGCCTAACACCATGAGTATCCGAAGTAAGGTTCAATATCCAATCATTAGAATAAATTCCCTCACCAATCATGTCACAATCTTGAGGTAGCTTCACATAGTTACCACACTGCTCAGGCAATGACCAAAGTGTTAAATGTGGCATCCAAAGCACCGGTTCTTCTTCATGAAAGCAAACTGATTCAACCCGGATAAGGCATTTGTTTAATTGAGCAAAGGATATAGATGATCTCATACCATAAGAGTGGGAAGTGGCAGATATGGTATATATGGGTTCATACTTGAAGATGTTCCTTGAATACAATACCTTGTATACAACAGCTGAACCTCTATTATTCCAAACAGCAAATAAATTATATGAATTCTCCGAATCAAGTCCCATCTCAGTTTTATCATCTCTAAGAACCATGCCCCCAACGATGTAACAGCCATCCAAGCAAAGTGGATCATCTAAGAACAAAATTTCGCCTATTTTTCTTCCATCCTCTAATAAACAAAATATGCAGCATGTTCTATACAAACAACCAAAGACCTGGCCGCATTTTAGGAATGACAACAGAAGCCCTCTGTCATCCAACCCATCTACCCAGCTTGTACTCCCTAAACTAGAAGGATTACTTGGTGTTGGTCTAACATTTTCTGTGCTCGAAATAAAATCCTTCAATATTGGCACACACTGCACTTTCCCAAAAATGTCAACCATCATAACTGACTGCATCAATTCACCTCCGGCAGATGAAACTATATTCATGGACTTTAAAGGTCCAATGGATAAGAATCCATGGAAAACAGTCTGAAGAACATTAAGAGTATATGAATCAACAATAATGACTGTGCACTTAGAGGGTTTAGCAGGCTGTGACTCCGAATCGACCAAGCTTTCAACTCCCGCATCAAGTGACTGATGATCTTGTTGATTAACGGAATCAGTCGTGCAGCAAGCAATGCAGGCATATCTACGGTTTTCAGAAAATATCCGGACTATAGATGGGGTTCCCGTCCAAGGAGGCAATTTCCGTCTGCGTCTGCAGTTCCCACTGGCTCTGCTCCAAACGCACATGACACCATCAGTGCATACACTTATTAATGCTCCACAGTTAGAATTGGATACCACATTATTATTGGGCTCATCTAATCTACCATCCCCAGAAACTGATGTGGGACAACATATAGCTAAATCGACTATTGGAGCAGCATGACCACATAGGATAGCAATTGGCTTAAATTCCTGATCATCAAAATGAATTTACCGCTTACAATATAAATGGTGCAATATGTGATAAAGCTTGACAAGCAGAACAAAGAACAAAACATCTATGACAGGTAAATCGACATGAGAATTGGAAGGAGAAATTCTACCAGAGCAGATTCGGCGGAAGAGTAGAGGTTCCACCAGATGATGGAGCCATCGGAGCCGCCAGTGTAGAGAGTTGAGGGGTGGTTCAGTACGGCTACGGCGGTGACTTTGTGGGCCGGCGGTGAGCCTGACCAAATACATGCAACGGATCTGCACTTCATCGACGGAACAAGCCCAGATCAAACTCAGCTTATCAGTAGAATGACTGAGCGGTTACCGGTGGTCTGTTGACAGCTCCGGTCAACAACGAGAAATCTCCGGGCTGGAAATGTTTATATGATTCATGAACAGTAATTTAAATTAAGGAGTAATTTCAATTCTTTTTTATTTTCTTCATTAATTTCAATTCATTTTATGTAAAAAAATACTCTTCGTCTCACTCATTTAGGGCCCGTTTGGGAAAAACGTTAGAGTTTAGAGTTAGAGTTTAGAGTCACAGTTTAGAGATAGAGATTAGTTGTTTACATTAGAGTTGGTAATTAGTTGTTTGATTTTTTATCGTTTGGCAGTTGATCACTTAAAAAAGCTAATGTAGTGTAAATTACTAAAACATCCATTTCGACATGTACTCCTAAATTTTAAACTTTTTGTTGATTTTAATATTAATTGGGACACTTTTTTACCATTGTTTTAATATGTTTTTTTAAGCTAGCAAAATATTAAAATAATTTTTAGGAGTGAATAGAAAAATGGATGTGTTTTTGTAAATAAAAAAAGAATACAAATGAACCAAGAATAAATTCTCTCTGTCGTAAATTAAGTTATATATTTATTATTTACATAGTCAAGTTTTAGTTATTTCATTTTTAATTTTTGTTATCAATTTGATAAAATAAAAATCATGTTACCTCTTCTTTCATACAACCTAGTTCGGGGTCAAATAGTGTTGTTATTGTAGTTATTTTTTAAAAACAGTTAAGTACAAGTATGAAATAAATTGAACTAAAAGTAACTTCAATGAACTATTGCACACCGAAACAATACATGCTTTAGTAGACCATAAGAATTGAACATTATGTAAGAAAAACTAAACATATTTAATTTTTGAAATAATTAGTTATTGAATTTGCTTAAAAAAGATTTAGAGATTAACTCTATATCTTAGTAAATTGTCTGCTATTTTATCTCTGAGCGAATTCATTGCGGATTCATTACTTCCTCTTCGATGACTATTACAACTTTCTTCATCATCTGAATCTTCCTCGAACTCATCATCTTCGTCTTCAAACTCTGAAAAATCATAATCTTTGCTACCAGCATGTCGACGAATGTAGTTATGCAAAGTCATGCAAACAATCACTATCAAAACTTGTTTGGGAAATGGATAATTTCTCATGACTTTTAACATAGCCCATTTATTTTTTAAAACACCAAATGCTCTTTCAATAACACTTCGTAAAGAAGAATGAGCTTTGTTGAATATCTCTTCTTTGCCTGATGGTGGTCTTCCTTGTCGAAAATCTGACAAATGGTATCTCTCTCCTCTATAAGGTCCCAAATAACCAGCAATTTGAGGGTATCCCGCATTTACTAAGTAATATTTTCCTATAAGATATGAAATATTATTGTTATCAAAACCATGTTATCATTTACACTAATAGAATACCGAGTAATAATACGTAAAACTTTAACTAATATTTTATGTGTAAGTATAAAATAAATAAATATATGCTTGTGTACCAGGCGGTGGATGTGGGAATTTCCATTGATCTTGACGTAGAGCCTTATAAAATACATTTGCATCATGAGCAGATCCTTCCCAACCGGCTAACACAAAAGTAAAACACATATTAAAGTCGCACACAGCCATCACGTTTTGCGTTGGCACCCCTTTTCGCCCGATATAGGTAATTGGTCTGTAACAGGAATGGAAGCTGGGATATGTGTTCCATCAATTGCCCCAATACAATCCTGCAACATTGTAAGTAAGAAATTAATCACTTCATATTTTGTTATATTTGACTTATGTAAGTTGTAACGTGTGGATGTCTACCTCTATGTGTGTATAACACAATTTACCTTAAAATGTGGCATGTATCTGCGATCATTTTTTATCTGTTCTGCAGTATCTTTAAATTGTCGATCAGATAGTTGAATCACATCAGAAGCCATGCCAATAATGGTTTCCAATACCATATTAAAGTATCTGCTAATTGTTTCTCTAGATCTTTGAAAACGTTCTTGAATTTCTCTATTTGACTCTCCATGCCCCAAAATATATACAAACACCGCAAGTGCTTCAATTGTTGACATATTAATTGAACCACTAAGTTCATACTTACTTTCTAAAGTATGAAGTAAACTAAGAAATATATCCTTTTTCATTCTAAACGCATTATAAAATCTCATGTCATGACCATCTAAAAGCTCTTTAACCCATGACTCACCACGTTGTCTTGAAGTGAAACAAGGTGTTTTTAGAATATATTTGCGATAATACTCCTCAAAATAATTCATCAATATGGTTCGTGAACGTGTCCACTTCATATCTTCATTCAAAATGGCTCGTAATTCGCATTCTTCCATTTCACTATCATCGAAGATACTTTGGCCAATCATCTGTAACATTATTTTAAAAAAATCTTTCATGAGTCAGGTAATTCATAACATGTTATATACCTTTTTTAACAATACTAATTCACATCTTCAAAAAATACAAATGACACATCAACCAAATATAATTCGAGTACTAAAGGCACTTTATATAACAATAACAAAGAAATATCTTATTCTAAAAAAATGTCTCAGTAACTAACATAATTGAAAAGAAATTAACTCACGGTGTTAAAATTCTCTAACATAGAAAAAGTAGTAAACACAACCTACAAAGAAAAGTTGGAGTTATTGTTGCCTAATAAACTAGTAAAAGTCCGAGCTTCATTTGCTGCTGCTTCACTTTCTTCGACTTTCAAATACCAGAGTCTATTTTCATAAGATTTAAGGGCCATAAACATTTCACGTTTGTCTTTGTCCAATAAGAGCTTCGTTGCAAATCAATACAAGGTGCTACAAGGTGGAATATCATCCTTCATGTCCATTAGCACCTCAACTGCTTCTGAAATGGTAGGAGGCAACTTGTTAACTCTTGACATGATAGTTTCTCTATGTTTGTCAAATTCTCCCTTAATTTCATCTATTTTTGTTGACAACATAGAAGCTCCTCCTAACTTTTTCTTGCATAACTTTTTCTTTTGTGTAGATGATGAGTTGATCTGTCGTTTTTTATTGGGTTCTCAATGATCTCAACACTTGTATATCTCCCTTTAGTGCCTTCATTTTCATGGTCATCATTTAGATCAGGGATGTCTAAATCAACACCAAACTCCTCCAAAGGTGTAGTATGAATATCAACGTCCTCAAAAGGAAATTGAGAACTTGATGGAGCTTCGAAAAATCGTCGTGGAGGACAACCAGCCGAGGGAGACCACATATCATCTCCTTTAGCAACAGTACCATCAAATAAAAATCCCAACTTGTCTTCCAACTCAGGATCAATGCCTTTAGCTCGAAATTTGGCTATTTCTGGATTAGCCTATAAAATAAATAAACCATAATTTCAAATACTTTTATAAATAGTATATGGTTAACACAAACCGAGCATAAGCAATAGCACTTATCTCAAGTAAACTTCATTACTTAAAGTCTATCTAGAGAATATATAACATACCTTAATATTTCTATCCCACCAATCATCTGTAGCATCAATAGTGCCTTTACGTGGGTTCCACCCTAACCCAGTTGCTAGTCTCTTGAGGATTCTCCAATTCTTCCATTCTTTTTTCAACATATCCCATTTATGTTTCATTTGTTGACTATCATAGGTAAGTCCTGTCTCATTTTTGAACTTAGTTGCTATGCTAGTCCATACAAACTTCTTTAAACTTCCTCCAGATCTATTACCATTTTCGAGTTCCCTTTTGCAGATATCACAGAACGTGATGACACGACTCCTCTCCCATTGTGCTCTTTCACGAACATTGTGACTATATTGAGAATTGAGCTTTAAAAAAGTATTGGTAAACATTGAGCATCATGAGTGATGAAGTATTTACATCTTTAAAAGGTTAAAGAGTAACAGATGTAAGGATCGGATCTATTTGGATGGACATTTTTGGAGGGATTAGCAAATCATTTATTTGAAGTTTTATAAAAATCAAAAGACCAACACAATCTCTCAAGTGAATGCAGGGGGTCGGCTGATATTTGATCAAACAAAACAAATCTTGCATATAACTAGTCAAAAATATGCACAACAAGTCAGATATAACACTTTAACTCCCTGTTTCATTACCCCTTTATATAATAAGACCTTTTTTTCTTTATTTCTTTCAGTAACCCAAAACATAGAAATTAAAAACAAAAAATGAAAAATAAACTTTGCGGCTGTCTCCGGCCGGCGGTCGTAGAAACAGAGGACTGTGCTCTCAATGAAAAGAGAAATGGAAACTCTAAGTCAATTTGATAGGCATTCATATCAACACTCAATGCATAAACCTCAATACCTTTTAAAAACTGTTGGCTTAATCACAACTGTGCTTAGGTAAGTCATGGTTGAAAATGAAAGCTGAAACAGCAACCCCGAATGCATCACTCCGCCCCTATGACTACATTCATATTTCTACAACACTTCTAATAAATCTAACTGAGACCCTAATATGATAACTAAGAGAATAAAACCATAAACATATAAACTAATCAAAGTTAATATAAATGCAAGGAATCTTCAAAGCACCTTCCCAAGCATATTCAAGTGAAACAATATTGCACAGCAAAACCAACCAACAAACTGGAAGGAAAATGAGAGTGTATGGAATGAAAACTAAAATTGAATCTTCCAAGGCCAAGCACAAAACAGTGGCTGCTATTAAGGTTTGATTATTCACCTTTAACCAAGTATCCACGTTGATTATAAAGGTGTCCTTTGCGGACAGTTTCCTATTTTTCAGTTTTAATTTCCAAAAAACAGAAACAAGAATATATGTTTGGCAGTAGTGTTTTTTTAGTATTGTTTTCTGGGCACAAAAAAAACAGAATTTCTGAAATTACTAGAATAATTTATCTTTTGGATCTTGACTATTTCATTACAGAGTCCCATGATTTAAAGTACTAAACACAACCAAAGTACTAATACTGTATATCACACCAGACAATTAACCGTAACAAATGCATTATATATTTCACATCATGATTGAATTGTGCGTAATCAATTGAAGAAAAAATACCTATCCTTTAAATTTCAATAAGAAATTGTTTAATAATCCAATAAACATACAAATTTAAAAAAAAACAGACTATATTATACTACTATACCACTCAAATCATCTAAAATATTTTTTAAAATAAGAAATTACAAACATGAGTAAAGAATTCTATGACCTACAAATATCATATTAATAAAAAAATTGAAATACTTACTTGCAAAGAATCTGGGGCTTCCATCGAGCTGCTCAAGAACCCTATTTTTGTGATCTCCAAATCGTGGCTTTATTCGGGAAGCATATAAGATTAGGCGGTAAAATTTTCCTCTAAAATTTTCATGGGTAAAAGAGGAAAATTGATCTCAAACGCTAAATTAAGGAGAAGAACGCTGGAGGGGGAGAGCTTTCGGCGTTTAGCCGCGCGGAAGAGTCGGGAGGATGAGAGAGAAGAAGAACGCTGAAAAAAAACAGGTCAACCAAACGCAAAAGAGTGTAAACGCAGCATTTGGGCTTAAAAAAACTAATACCAAACAGGCTTTTAGTGTATTCGTTCACTTTGACTTTTTTAAGTCAAACAAAGTAAACTTTAAGCTTCGATTAGATAAAATTATAATATATATTAATATATAAGTGTCTTTATTAGATTTATCAAGTTGAGAACTTTTACAATTTTATTCTACTAATATGTAATACAAATTGAGAGTGATTGAAGCTCAAACTTTGCCAAATTAAAAAAAAGTGAGAAAGGTAAAAAAATTCATTTTTATTTATTTTAATATTTAAATTAGGAAAGTAAAAAAGAAAAAAATGAGGATAATTAAAAATAGTGGAAAGAACCAAAGAGAAGATGAGAAATTATTCGGGGTAATATACAAAGTAATACAAACATTTGAAATACTCCCTCCATCCCATTTTATAACGCATGTTTCAGTTTACGATGTTTGACTGAAATTATTTTCAAATCATTTTATATGACAAATGGTATATAGTTAAAAAATAAAAATTACATATTAAAATACTACATCAAAAGATCTACAAAACTAGTTGTGACAATAGTACTTTATTTTATCAAATTGCTAACGAAAATAGAAAAAGAAAGTGAATGAAATTTGACCCTGTGAATAGTGAACAGACATTATAATTTGGGAAGTAGGGAGTAAAACTTTTATTTTTAACTTAATCTTATATTAAAATTAACCAAGAAATTTATTTTTATTACTATTATTAATTTAAATGAGAGATATTCTTATTTTAAAATGAAAAAATTGGGATGAGAGTGTAACAATATTGGACTTGACAAAGCAAGTAAAATAAGTCAAAAACATTAAAAGGGAACAAAAACAAAAGAAAAATTTTGGTTTAATCCTTGTTGCTTGTCCGAGGTACATTTTTGTTAAAAAAAATTAAGGTTGAAATTTATTTTTTGTTACAAGTTGAAGTTTGTTACAACGTTTAAAATTAGAGTATAGAATTAATTAATTGTAAAAATGACCTTGTATATAAATTTTTAAAACTATCACCATTTATTTCTTTTTATTTCTTTTCATTAAAAAATAATTATAATTTTAAACTTTGGCATCTTTTATTTTCAATTTTGATTAATTAAAATAAATCCTTTACCATTACATTCAATAACTATTAACTTTGTATAAAAATTTCCGTTTATAAGCATTATACCAATATGTATTCACCATTTTAATTTTATTAATCTAAATAATTATGTTATTATTTTTAAAAGAAGATTGCATTAGTTTACTATTTTTTTAAAGAGAGCTTTACATAAATTTCTAAGACCACTCACCATTTTCCCCTTTTACTACTTTTAAAAGACAAAAATTTATATAAATGTTAATAAATGTGCATAATTGTTCAAACTACATCTTTTAATTCAAAATAGTTATCATATCTATTAATTAAAAAATGATTTAAATAACACATACCATATATTTATTAGAAAATTTAAATATAGAAAATTTTTAATTTAATGCAGATTTGATTTTATCAAAATGTTAGAAAACCTAGAATTTATAGAAGTGTGTGCAAAGCACAAAATTAAAACTAATTTAGAAAATAGTGAAGTAAAATTAATGCGTGGGGTAAGTTTTTTTGTGGGATGTGACCATCTCCATCGCTAAAGAAAACCTACTCCTATCATCTCAAGTTAAACTGTCCTTTTCATTTACCGGTTTTTTACTTAAATTATTTTCAATTTAATTTATAAGACAATTGAGATGAAATTTAAAAAAATTAAATATTTGAAAAAACTTAATTAAAAGTTCTACTCCCAATAAAATTAGAGTACTTCGTATAAAATAAGAAGTAACATGACTATATATCTTTTTATCAAATCAGTAACGAAAACAAATAAGAAAATGAATGCAATTTAATCTTATAAATAATATAAATACAATTTAATTTGGATCAAACAAAGTAACAAGGAATCAAGGATAGAGAATATGCTTTGTCTAACCTCATGTACATTTAAAAGAATTGAGAATATGTGACCAATTATATATAATACTTCTTTCATCCTATAAAGATGTTCCCGTTTTGATTTTTAGGAAATTTAAAGAAGAGATAAGTTTGTATTGACTTTCTAAAAATACTCTTAATGTGAATGCGATATGTAGATTATTAATAAAAAAAGTATGATGTGATATACTCCGTATATGTTAAAAATTAATAGGATTAAAAGTGTTTTTCTAATAGAAAAGGAAGAATTTTTGTGAAACAAGAAAAAATGAGAAAGGAGTTTTTGGAACAGAGAGAATATTTAATTTGTATTGCACTTTTTTAAATGTTTCGTTCTTCGATTATTAAAAAAATTCTACACTTAACAACTTTGGTTAAATTAATTCCTTGATATAGAATCGGGGTTTTGTTAAATAAAAGTTCACAGGTTTGAAATCTCAAATTAGATCCTGGATGTCTGTTTATCTCATTATTATTTTGGACCTTTTGTTATTTATTTACGAACATCCTATTTAAGATTTACATGGAATAAAAATAAAATAAAATAAAATAAAATAAAAGAACTCAAGACTAATCCATTCCAAAGAATGAGAATATTTAAGAAGCTTTCATAGTTTCTCCTAAGAAATTCCTTTCCTTCTCCTTCCATTGCACTCTTTCCAATAATATAAGCACATATTATACTCCCTAATCTACTTTTACCCTTAATCAAATAAGTAAATCATGTAACACTATAAATCCATGATTGCATGAACTAATTTCTCTAACTCATTCCATTAAATATCTAAATTTAACTCCCCCTAAAATATACCTCTAATGAGTTCCATGTTTAACCTGGTTGAGAGAGGCCAGGCTATGGCCAAGGAATTTGCTCAAAAATCTATTGGATCGATGGAATCACTTCGTACTCGTTGGCCATGGTTCGAGGCGTGGAGAAATTTATTTAAGGTTGGTCCCGTAAAAGCGAAGGGCAAACCAATTCAGAATGGTAATGCACCCTCTGCTCCTATAGCAGAAGAGGAATCAACAAAAGAACATGTGAAATCTCATGCAGTACCAGAATCTACAGATAATGTTGAAGAAGAAATTCTTCCTGGAGAAGAAAAAGGTGTAGAAATTGAAATAGAATCTCCTTCCATAAAAGAATCTGCAGAAGTAAGAAAACAGCCTGGTCAGGTAGAAGATGCTGGGAAAGTAGAAGGGAAATCACAAAAACCCGGGAAAAAGAGTCATTCACGGCTCAATGGGTGTAGTATCATGTAACCTACCCTTATATATATGTACAAATCCGATGCAACTATAAGAAAGATGAATAATTGATTGCTAATATTATTTAATAGGCATTGTTAATGAGTTGGGTAGTGCAGAGTGCATGCATGTTCAACAAACGATTTTACAAATTCCGTAGCCGGGTCCGGGGGCAGTAGCTCCAGGTAGCAAGGTCCACGGGGCAAAGCCCCTGGCTTGGGTGAAAACTTTTTATTTTGGACATTGTTATTTCAAGGAACTTCAGATTTTCGTAAACGGAGACCAAAGCAAGGCAACGAATGTGTAGTTTATCTCCAACATCTTTTACGAAAAGGCACATCACATTCGAATGTGTAGTATCCAACATTTCAATCATGCTTAAAACTATTGAAACATAATGTTTAACAATAGCTGCCGCATACATTCGAATGTATTAGCCAAAATATTTGAATGTTGTACGTAAAGTTGTGTTGTTTCGTCAAGAGACGAGTTCGCCCAGCCTTGTCCATGTCATCATACCTTGAGGGAGAAAAAGTCACAATGAGGAACGCAAAAAAGACAAACGCGAGCAACATTTATCACCTATTACCTCCCCATTCCCCCCAACCCGCCCACATCCTTCTCTATCATCTTACAGAAGTTTCTCCTTTGTCATCTCAACTTGTCCCATATCTGATATCTCCACCAAGTTCTTCCCTCATCCACAACCTCTACTATGAATCTAAGTGCTCACAATTAATCACTGCATAGTCGTCAATATTGTGTCCGTCACGATGGTGCCCCTATGAGAACCGGCCTTCTATTTGTTTTGGTGCCCTAGCCTCTTCCACTCTGTGTGCTCTTGGAGATGAAAATTTTATGTTTTATACATTCTAAAAAATTCTCAAATCTAAGAATCTTCTTACACCTAGTTACTGTTTGTTTTAGTAGTTTGAGCATCAATTTTGTTGAGGCAATTTTGTTTTAGTAGTAGGCTTCTAACCTTGTGGCTAAGGAGGCTGATTCTAAGTCTAATATCGTGGGATGACATGTCATTCCCCCTCATTTTCTTGTAAACACTATTTCTGAGAGTGATGAATTGAGCTTTTGTTGTTAAAAAAAGATTTTTCTTACACGAGAATGACATTTTTGGATCTAAGATCTATGGTTTAAGTTAAATTTTTAGATTTAAGTTCTAAGTTTCAAACGAAACTCTCAAACGACAATAGTGGTTGTTCCGTCAAATTTTGAAAGAAAATATGCTTTTAATTCTACATTAAAACTATAGGAGCAAGTGCAAAAGGTGCATAGCATGGTGAGGATATTTTGGAAAGTCGAAGCATTTTTTAAACTCCATTAAAAATGAGTCTTAGTCGAACCGGGAAGAATGCTATACGATGAAGAGAGTAATATTTTAAGCCCAATATATCAAGCTTGTTTAATTAATGTTAGACTTAGACCACCGAAGCACAAGTAATTGAGTTAAGATGAAGCTTACGTGAAATGGTTTGGATTAAACCCGACACATAAATAAGATGTACCCGCATGGACATGGGGTGAGGGCGACTAGTGTTAGAGGAAAAAAAGGATAATCCCAAATCAAATAAGATTCATGTTCCACCACCTCAGAAGTGGGGTCGTGAGATATATTGAGGTGGCAACAAGAGGCTCAAATGGGTTTGTCTCACTAATGTGTATATAATAGTAGTGGTCATAATTGTTACATCCATTGTCGCTAAACGTTTTCAGATTCATTATCTCTGATAATACAAGGATGTTGCAGAACCTAAGGAAGAAACTTTCATCCAAGTCAACAGAATAGGGCTAGAAATATGAACTGGAATTAGTAGATTGTTTAGTGCATTGTAAAACGTAAGACTCTACTAACACAGAACCAAGAAAGATGTGACATTACCTAGACACAGAAGTTTCCAAGTTCAATTTGATTCCTTGGCTTCTGCATCTGCCTCCTCTTGCAGTTTCCTTAACGAAGGAGGAGGTCTAGGAACAATGCTTTTCTTCCACTTTTTGTCTAACTTTCTTGAAAGCCTTTTGCCGATCCCTTCCTCAATCTCTCTTTCCCGCTTCACAGTGAGCATCCTAGCAATCTAACACATGAAGTAAAAACAAATATAACCAATGTTTCAATTGAGAGTATGACACTGGATGCTGACTCAACATTCAAAATTAATTACGAGTATATTTCAGGTATAATGGGCTGCTAAAAGGGGCAATCGTACGCCGCAACATTCAACAATTAAAACTGCAATTTTACTCATCATCTTGTTTCCAGCAATGTGAAACCAGAACTACACGGAACATCCCCAAGACTCTCAACCATGATATTTTAACTTTCTTAGCACTTAGTTCCCATGCCCGGTCAAAGTTTGTTGTAATTTGCAGACAAAATATATACCTAGAACATGAATATACTCCAAAAACTCAGAATATTACATTCCTTGAGAAAAAAACTTGGGAATGTTAGATAACCTAAGAGGAGAATACTCACATTCCCTTAAAATGGAAAAAAATGGTTAGGTAACACAGTCACACTAAGCAAGGGATGTTAACAATCTTTGTGGAAAAAACCTAACATGAACTGCACACGGAAATGTAAGATTTCAGCTTTCACATTACCTGGTAATATACCTTGAACCAAGCATTTCATAACACAATGATGCTACATTTGAAAAAAAGATTAATAATGGTAGATAACTCATAACAATAAATACACTTACATCCCTTCAAAATGAGAACAGAAAATGTGCACCATGAGAAAAAACAACAAAAGGTGCACTACTTGGGAACAAAACAAAACGTGAGCCAAACAGGGGAATTTAAGATTTTGATGTATAGATTACCATGGTGATGCCATAATATTATATACCTTGAACAAAGAAACATGAGAAGCCAGGAACACACATTCTTTGAGAAAGTGCTTGGGGATGTTAAATAGCTCGCATCGTGGTTTATCATGGTTAACCAAAGTTTATAAAATGGATAACCATGTTTGTTTCCATTTTAAGATTTATGGTACGATTTTTTACTTCCTCCATTCAAAAATATATCTCACATTTGCTTTTTCAGCATTCACAGGAACTTTTGTTTATTTCTACGTTTTCATTGGTTATTTAATAAAATAAAATATTCTTGACACCTCTTATTTTGAAGAACTTTTCATGTAGTTTTTTGATATGTAAATTTTATTTTTTATTTCTATACCAATATGTAAATAAAATGAATTGAAAAAACTAAATATTTTACCTCGGTAATAGAAGGCTGACAAATATTTAGGGACAGAGGGAGTATGTTAATCCACAATTTTCCATGGTTTATATATATATGTGTGTGCGTGTAATTGACTCCAGTGAGATAACACCTTACGGTGAGATGACATGCTTCGATCAGATGACGCAAAGCTCATCTTTAAAAATGTTCCCTCCATCCCAAAGAGAACATCTCATTCACTTTTGGCAAACCTATTAACACAATGAATTGTGTGGTTGAGATTTTTTAGTTAGTTTTTTTTTTGAAAAAAAAATGACTCGCCCAATTCCTACCTTGAAAGGAAAAGAGCAGAGAAGTTCAGGACAACTAAAAAGACAAAAATGAAAAGTTCTTTTTGGATAAGGATTATACAGCTAAACTCTTAAGAAAAAAATCATTGTGAAATGTTTTCCACATCAATTTATTTTCGCTTCGGAGAACAGAACAGAAAACACAAACGAAGTATTCATTTAGCTCAACATTTAGAGAGAATCGGTTGATAAAAAGCCCACATAAAGAAATCAATTACCGAATAATAAATGCCACACAAGGGGGGGGGGGGGGGGGGNTGGACTTGAACTCATTGCGAGCAGACTTCTGGAATCGAAGCATCAGGAGCTCTCCCTTGAGGTCCAGTACCTCCTCGTTGATTTCTTCAGTAGTTTTAGATCTGATTTCCTTCAGGTTTTCTTCCCTCTTAGCCATTCGCACGACAATTGAGGAGTGCGATGTTCGGGCCGGCAGCGCAGGGCGTACATGGGCTATGCGGACGCCGTGAAATAAGGATTTATTGAGACCCCTCGTCGGAGCAAAGGTCAAGCTCGGAGGAGACGCCGCGAAGGAGATGCTCATCGTCCCTGGGATTCTGGTGTGGATAAGCATTCAGGACCGTGTCCGAAACCGGGAATCGCACAAAAAGATACGGAGTAGTTTTCGTTTTAAGAAGAACCAGACCGAACATTGACCGGACGAGGGAAGAGTGAAAGACCAATCTCTATAGAATGGGTAAATTTGGGTAAAGGATTCAATTAACTAGTTTTACACTAACACCAACATGGTGTACTCTATTTATATACTAAACTAATACAGACATAAACAAACACATAACATATATGCTTGCACAGACATTATGTGTCTGTGTTAGTTTGGTCTGCAAATGGGATACCTCATGCTAGTGTACTCCTAGCATTGCTTTTTTTAATAGAAAGTACTACGTAAATTAAATTAATATCAAAATCAAATGAGAGGCTTCTAAAATAAAATAACTTAAAAAGTATATCACATAATTTTTTTTGAATTAAAGGTTGTTAGAGCACAAAAAACAGATCTTACGAGGATCCATATACTGATCCTATAAGGAGAATATCTTGAGATTGAAAATTCATCATAGAGTATGATATTAGCAATTTATTTACAATCATACTCACTGTAAACAAAAATGCTAGAAACCTATCACGGTCTACGGGTACCTCCACGGAAGATAAGCATGGATGATTTATGCATACCCAGACATCTTTGAACATGGATGATTATCGTAATGATTATTGTCTTTGTATGTACAAATCATCTGTGATTGCCATCCGTTAAAGCATTCGTATTGGATTCCTAGCATGATTGCATAAAGAGGGCATCATTTTGAATGTAGATCCTATTAGCTTTGACATAGTAGAGACAACAGCACAACCACTAGATCTGCATTTCACTCAACTACTACAACTACTGCAGAAGGAAACTACACGAGAACCAAACAAACAAAAGGAAAGTTTTGAGGTTTGACTTTTTGTGGTTTTTAAGGAGAGTTGAGTTTACCACAATACTCTTAGGCCCCGTCTGGTACATGGAAGTCAAACCATGGAATTGGAATTGAAGACTCCAATTCCAGTTCTGGTGTTTGGTAGCACAAAAATTATGTGCATTTGGAATTGATAGTGCAAAAAATGAATTGAAATTGGCAGAATTTAATTCTATAGAATTGAATCCCATGGAATTTCAATTCCAATTCCATCAATTCCGTATACCAAACGGACCCTTAATGAAAATGGGGGGAGTGTATTAAAGTAGGTGGGTGAGGTGCAATAAATAAAGTAAGTGGAGGTAATTGTGATATTTTAATTGTTAAAAGGACCATGCTAGGGTGCCACCACATTGATGCTACCATGTGTGCACCCATGCTTCGCACAGACAAACACAGACGATAATTGTCTGTGCGACACAGACAATTATCGTCTGTGTTTGTCTGTGAGAAACATGGGTGCACTCATGATAGCACTCATGTGGTGGCACCCTAGCATTTTCCTTGTTAAAAAAGGTAATGAAAAGATCTATGGTGGGCAAATAAAAAGAACTAATGGGAAGATCTATTGGGGACGGAAGGAATAATATAACTTTTCTTTACGATCTTACATTTATATACTAACTTATTATAAAGTAAAGGTAAATTAAAATATACTCCCTCCGTCCTAAAATGTTCTTCCCACTCACTTTTTACCCGGTCAAACTTTAATCACTTTCTTTACCTATTTTTATTAGATATTTAGTAAAATAATATAGTCTTGTCACCACTTGTTTTGTAGAACTTTTGATGTAGTTTTTAAATATATAAATTTTATTTTTTAATTTTACACCTACAATCAAATAAATTGAATTGAAAATAAAGTCGGTCAAATTTCGTAAAATGAACCGGGAAGATTATTATAGGACAGAGGGAGTAATACCAAATTCTCTTATTGAAAAGTTTTAAGCGAGTACTTATTTATAATGTGACGAGGTGGGAATTAATTGCAAAATATTTATAAGTTTCTTTAATTCTTTAAAGAGTTAATAGCATGAGCACCCCATGTGGTTTACAAAAAGGGCGTCAAAACCCTCCTGTTTTCAAAAGTTATTTGTAAGGTTCATGTGGTTTCTAAATAGAGCACACATGACCCCCTTACTTATTTTTAAAGCAAAAATGACATTTATGCCCTTTGTTTTCCCCGATCTTGAATTTTTCCGATTTTAATTTCCTTTATTATACAAATATATAAAATAAAACATATGCTTCCCATCTCAAATTAGAATTTTTCATAATGTACTTTTGAAAACAAAATATTTTTTGGAGAATGTTACAAAAAATGAAAAATAAAATATTATGTACAAAGTAAAAAGTAATAACTGTTAAAAAAAGTAATGAAAAAAATAAAAATATAAAAAATAGTCTTTTTCTTTAACTCCATATTTTATTTCATCTTTCTGTTCTTCATTTTTAAAGTCCTTAAAATTATTTTACTTTTAAAAACAAATAAGTTAGAATTTTTAACTAGAGATAGAGTGAGTATATGTTATCCAATTAAAAATGGAGTTTTTAAATAGAGTGAGTATATGTGGACTTTTAAAAATTATTTCTAACTTATTTGTTTTTAAAAGTAAAATAATTTTAAGGACTTTAAAAATGAAGAACAGAAAGATGAAACAAAATATGGAGTTAAAGAAAAAGACTATTTTTTATATTTTTATTTCTTTTCATTACTTTTTTTTAACTGTTATTACTTTTTACTTTGTACATAATATTTTATTTTTCATTTTTTTGTAACATTCTCCAAAAAATATTTTATTTTCAAAAGTACATTATGAAAAATTCTAATTTGAGATGGGAAGCATATGTTTTATTTTATATATTTGTACAATAAAGGAAATTAAAATCGGAAAAATTCAAGATCGGGGAAAACAAAGGGCATAGATGTCATTTTTGCTTTAAAAATAGGTTAAGGGGGCATGTGTACTCTATTTAGAAACCATAGGTACTTTACAAATAACTTTTGAAAACAGGGGGGATTTTGACGCCTGTTTTGTAAACCACAGGGGGTGCCCATGCTATTAACCCATTCTTTAAATAATATTACTCCCCCACTGAACTACTGTCCATATCCTCCGAGTGATTCTCTTGTGTATCTCTCCATTGTGAGTTTTTTCTTAAAATTGTGGATGTCCATGTTAATTACTTTTAGGTAATATTCCTTCTGTTGTCTATGAATACTTTTAATGTTTTGGTTTACTTTAATACTCTACATCTCAAATTAAGTTATATGTATGCTATTCACAAAATCAATTTTTTTCACATTCTTTCCTTATTTTTTATTCATTTGATAAAATAATATAATCTTGTTACATTTTGTTTCCTAGAACTTTTGATGTAGTTTTTAATATACTTCCTCCGTCCTATAATGATCTTCCCGGTTCGCAAAACGAAGAAAAATCTCCAAGCTTTTTCAATCTATTTTATTTAAATATTGGTATAGAAATAAAAAATAAAACATACATATTTAAAGACTACATCAAAAGTTCAACAAAACAAGTGGTGACAAGAATATTTTATTTTATCATATAGGCCATGAAAAAACACAAATAAATATAAATTCCCGTGAAGTTGGAATAATGCTCTGGGAAGATCATTATAGGATGGAGGGGGTATAAATTTTAATTTTCTAAATTTGCTCCAACTTTCAAATAGATTGTATTGATAATAGTTTCAATCAAACATTATAAATCAAAACATGCGATTTAGATTAGGACTGAGGAGTATAATTGATCAAACAGTTGCCGTTAACTCTTTTGGTACAACATTTGGTATAATTGATCAAACAAAAATCTATTTTGGAACAATAAACAAAATAACAAAGAAATATACCTAATATTTTATAGAAGGCAAATGCACAGCAAGCTGCCGTTAACTCTTTTTGAATAGCTTAATGAATAGATTAATTACAGTTCCTTAATTGTCCCTCTCACCGGTTGTCAGTTGAGAGTTTTAAATCGTGAACGAACACACAAACATTAATAAACAAGAAATTAAAGTAAACTCAAAACTGTGTCCTGCATATTGAAAGTGTTATAATGTGAATGCGAACGAATAATATGGAAAGAACAATTTTATTATTTATTTATTTATTTTAAATGCTAACAATTTTATTTGATTGAGTTATACAATTGCGAACAAAAATAATGACCCTTAAACATTATGTTACAAGCATTAATAAATACGCAAACATGGCAGTAGTAACATAACATAAGCATGGGAGTGATTTCCGAGCATAAACTCCATCAACGAAAGCATGGAAATTAGTTAGAAAGTAGTGTAACATTGAATCACGTACAAGTCACATAACTAGTAGACAAAAGGAATAAATCCTAACACAAATTATTGGGGTTCATTTGTAATTGATGTTTGCAGTTAACACATAAGACAACAATTTCAATTAGCATTGCATTTTAACTTCATAAACTTAACAAATAAAAGACAACCAGCTATGTATATATAATCCTTTATAAATAAAAATGAGACTTGAATCTCTAAGAAGCTGCTGACATATGACTAAATCTGGCAAAAATTGATCTGACATGTTTTTTACCCGAGTCCCAACCCGAAAATACTAAACTTTGAATAAAAGTTATGTTGACCGAACGCGAATATGATTGAACCCGAAATGACATACTAAAAATGAGCCAAACCCAAACTGAACTCGACCAGATAGAGAGAGCTAGAGGGAGTAAGGCGTGAGGACGACGGTGAGGAATGAAAAGACTACGAGGGAGCGAGGATGGCGACCGAGAAAGGACAATACAGGAGGCGGTGCTGCTTTTCCGGCATGGAGGACAACGATGGGGGACGGCTATAGGGACAAAACAACAAAGAGAACTAGATGGAGATGGAGTTTGCGATAGAATGAAGTAAGGCAGGAGGGCGGCGACGAAGGAGGGTGCGAGGATGACAAGCGAGAAATAATGATTGAGAAAGCAATACTTACCCTTTCCAGCATGGAGGACATAGATGGAGGAGTCGAGAGCTAGATAAAGCATACGATGGAATGAAAAGTACATTTTGGACAAATAAAAAAATGTGAGAAGTTTATTTTGGAAATTGGAACAGAGAGAATATATCCTAAGAGTTGTTTTTTTTAAGTGCAAGGATTACGTTCAACTAATTTAAATTAACAGTTGTTCTTAATTATAAACTCTAGAGTTGACTAAAGTGATACTCCTTTGAGTGTGTAATATCTCATATTTGTGCTTAGTGTCTCTCTTATCCAAAAAAAATGCCATAAAATATACTCCAACTTTCTCTTATCATCCCTACCCCCACACATATCAGATATCACCTATCATAGTCAAGAGACTCAAGTCAGAAGAGTCAACTGAAAGGAGGACCAAAATGATAGATAAAACATGCACAATAAAAAGACCATTATTTTTTGCATTGTTTGGTTCAAGGAATTTGAAAGAGGAAAAGAATAGAAATCGATATGGAAAATAATTTTTCTCATTTCGTTAGAGAGGAAAAGAAAAGAAAAGTGAGAGGAAAAGAAAATGAATAGGCAAAATGCACAAAGAGGAGGGAAACGAATTCCTCCCATTTTAGTGGGGAAAATAAGGGAACCCCATTTTCTTTTCTTTTCCTTCCAAATTCCTTGAACTAAACATAGTGTTACACTATGTTTGGTTCAAGAAATTTGAAATGGAAAAGAAAAGAGAATGAGATGAAAAATAATTTTTCTTGTTTGGATAGAGAGAAAAAGAAAAGAAAAGTGAAAGGAAAAGGAAATGAGAAGTTAAAATATACTAAGAGAAGGGAAAATCAAACTCCTCCCATTTTGGTGAGGAAAATGAGAGAAAATCATTTTCTTTTCTTTTCTTCCAAATTCCTCTAATCAAACATAATGTAACACTGTGCTTGGTTCAAGGAATTTGGAAGGAAAAGAAAAAAATGGTTTTCCCTCCGTTTTCCCACCAAAATGAGAAAAATTTGGTTTTCCATCCTCTTAGTACATTTTGCCTTCTCGTGTTCTTTTCCATCCACTTTTCTTTTTTTTTTCTCTAACCAAACAAGAAAAATGTATTCCTTCTTATTTTCTTTTCCTTTCCCTCTCACATTCCTTGAACCAAACACGGTGTTAGTGTTTCTGAACTTGAAGGAAAATGCAAGAAACTTTGATTGGAAAATAAGCTTTCCGTACAAAAGCTTAATGCGGCAGCATATGCCGCGGGCATGTATAGGTTGTTTGAATCCTGTTACAGTATCTACTTCCCTTATGTAGAGGAGAATAAATAGGCCAGGGATGAAGGCTTATAGACAAAGTGACCTCAAGAATAAAACAGAAAAATGAAAACACAGAATAACTTACCTTAATGAACACAGAACTTGAGATCTATTGCATTTTAGAAGAATGTTGAGGTAAAACAGGCGGAACATCTTGCGTAGAAGATGGACTTGAAGAAGCCTGCTGCTGGTTCATAGTAGGAGATGAGAGGCCACCAAATCTGTTAGCCAGGAGGGCTTGCAACTGTGGCGAGATATTAGGGGGGAGAGACGGTTTCAGAGCTTGGGCTTGCTGGGTTGTGGTTGTTGATGGCTGAACAGGGATGTAGTGTTCCAGAGCCTCTGAGAATGCTCTACCTGATAGGCTTCCACGCATGCGCCCTAAGGGCCGCCAGTCCTTATCTGGTGTAGATGCTAATATATCCACTGGCACTGTGTTTCCTCCCCTTTGTTCCCCCCCTCCAGTCAATGATGAAACCCCCCGTGAAGAGGGGTCGGCATTTCTTGAAGCAGGAGGTGGAGCGGCAGGTCGAGATAACTGAACAGGTCTTGCTACCTGAGCAGTCTTTTGAGCAGTTAGCATCGGCTGAAGGTGTTGGCTACTAACAGCACCACCACCTCTTGCCGGACCAACTCCAATTTGCGAACTGTTTTGTAGGTTGTTTCGCGAGAAATTGGAGGCGGTGGCGGCAGGTGACCGAGAAAGGCCTTGTTGAGACTGAGTAGAGGTATAGGGTGGTGTATGCTGGTGGTTCATTACTCCCTGCCAATTTGCATTGAGTGATTCAGCGGCAAATCCCGAAGAAGCTCTGAAAGGAGGTGTGGGAGCTGAACTTTTGTGGCCAGCACCAAACTGTTGACTTTTATGAGCAAAAGAATGCTCAACCTGCTAGCACCAGCACCAAAAGAAGAAAAATACACATTCAACATTACAGAATCTCATAACCATAGTCAACAGTGAATCTCTCTGCTTAATTGCAGCAGATGGGAAAATAATTTGTTCTTAAATACTCCCTTTGTCCCAGAAAAAGATGTGTGTCAAACACTTCTCTTTAAAAAATGAGTCCAAGTTGATCAAACCAAGCTAATTTCAGGTCATTTGTCAAAAAAAATTGCCAACAGATAAATTGGATATAAGAAAGTTAGTGAAGCCAACGCATAATTTTTAATGTCAATTATGATTAATGATTTATGACAGTTTTACCATAGAAACACAAAAAAGATTTACATTAGCAGAACTTTTTCTCTTTGGGGGAGGAAGGAGATAGCATAATGTTTTAACCCACAAAAAAAAACATAAATATATGATCGCTTCATCCTATAAAAAAATCATAGTTTGACAGCACGTTTTTAAGAGAAGTATTCAAAAGTGTAGATGGATTCATTTCCTTTAGGTAGTGTTTGGCAACTAGCATTTTATTTCAATTCGTGCATTTCAATTCCAGAATTTGAAATCTTGAATTTCAAATGACAAGGGGGGTGCATGGATTTCAAATTAAGCATTGTTATGAATGAGAAGAATTTGACCCAAATCCAAATTCAAATTTTTTAAGTTTCCCAAACATGGAATTTGAGCCAAATCCGGATTTGAAATCCAAATCCTTGTTCCCAACATACCATTAAAGAAAAAGAGAGTAGTGTGAAGTTCATTTTAGGATGGATAGAAAAGAATTTCTTTTGAGAATAGATGGAGTGTGTGTATGTAGAGAGAGGCATTTTCCACAAAATGAGGAGAAAATTTCCTTTCAAGAAAAAATTTTTGGTGCCAACAACAACAATAATCCCACCTCTATTGGAGTCTAAGAGGGTCAAGACATACACAACCTTACCTCTGTAAAAATACAAAGAGATTGTTTCTCATTCATAACAATATAACAATGCTTAATTTGAAATCCATGCACCCCCCTTGTCATTTGAAATTCAAGATTTCAAATCCAAATTCAAATTTTTCAAGTTTCCCAAACATGGAATTTGAGCCAAATCCGGATTTGAAATCCAAATCCTTGTTCCCAACATACCATTAAAGAAAAAGAGAGTAGTGTGAAGTTCATTTTAGGACGGATAGAAAAGAATTTCTTTTGAGAATAGATGGAGTGTGTGTATGTAGAGAGAGAGAGAGGCATTATCCACAAAATGAGGAGAAAATTTCCTTTCTAGAAATTTTTTTTGGTGCCAACAACAACAATAATCCCACCTCTATTGGAGTCTAAGAGGGTCAAGACATACACAACCTTACCTCTGTAAAAATACAAAGAGATTGTTTCCATTAGACCCTTGATGCATTGATGCACTGCCCAAAGCTTCATAGTAAGTAAGAAGCAAGGGAAGTTTAAGATGTCATTTTGAGTTAGTCCATTATTCACCGGAAGCTAAAAGCCTAAAACATTGTCAAAATGACTCTTTTAGTTCCCTTGGAAATGGACACAAATATTTTCGGTGCCAAATACAAGAAAATTTAAAAAGATAATATCATGACAAAAAAATTATTGAAAAGAAACTGAGCCTATATAATACGAAGTAATAATCAAGGACAACTAACCTGCTTATTAGGTAATGTTGATGACGGGGCATGTGATGGTTGGACAATATTTGAGTTAGATCTAGAGAAACTATGCTGCCTTTCAATATTACTAATACCAGAACTTGTGATAACTGGTGTTGCCTGAGAAGCTGGGGAAGAGCAGTTGAGAACTGGAGAGGTGTTGGTATTTCTTGGTCTCTGCTGAGGTGAGGGGGTCTGCGCTGGAAGGGCCTGAACTGCAATTGCTGCCCTATTCACTGCATATCTAGTTATTGATGGCATCCTTCCATATTCATTAGTACTGCCCACCGAGTTCCCAAGATGAAACTGCTGTAACTGCAAGTTGTTATTAGGTGAGGAATCCCCACCTTGTATGACAGAGGCAGGGATAAGTGCATCTGTTAAAACAGGAGATGGTGTTACGCTTGTTGGAATAGGCTCAGAAACACCAATCTGCTGCATGTTGGAACTAGATCTAGACGTCCCCGATTCAAACGTGGAGAGATAAAGGCCCGACCAGAAGTCAGTACCCATGTTAGAAGTCTGATTAACCTCAGTTGGTTTACTAGACTGACGAGAAGGTTGGTTTTGGTTGTTGGTCTGGAGACCTTTATAGTCATCCATCTCTCCTGTACCACGTACTACGTCCATTGCATCGTCTATATCGGTAAGATCCATAATATCTGTAGAGAAGCTAGGGATGCCACCCGAATCTGGATGCATAGTTTCGTCTTTTGAAATTTTGGGGTTATTCGAGGGGGAATTGTCAGTATGTCCATCACTTTCCATGATTGCCTTCCACGAACCATCTGAAGAGAGGATGACATCAGTGATGTTCTCCCCAACTTCTTTCAAAACCTGTTAACATAAAGGTGAGATAATTTTTTAAAAATGGCTCTACAATGAAATGTGAGATAATTTGCCTAAAATAATCCCACAATGAAAATTTGCCTACAATGAAAAAATAAATTTGCCTAAATTAATCCCTCCTTTCATTTAATTGCGAAAAACAAGCATTTTCCAAAAATTCTGTTAAGTGGCCGTTAGCTTTTTAACTGCATCCCAAAACTCGCACACATGCAGAAAGGTAGGACTATTTCTGGTGTCAATGAAAAGTGAGATTAGTTTTGAAAAAAACGTGAAAAGGTGGGATTATTTACGATTATTTTTCCTATTATTGTTATTATTTTGGAAGAACATGATAAACATTACTTGCCTTGGCCATATCTTGATCAATACGGATATCTGTGAAGCAGACATTCTGGTTACAATGAGGACAACGCCAAGACGGTCTTCTTGAATTTATATCAACAAAGTTTTGATAATCAAAGCACTATGATAAAAGAAACATGTTGGCGTTAAGCACTATTATTGAAAGGGGCATTATAAAAAAGTCGGTTAAAATATCAGTTTCAGTGAAACTTTGGGCTGTGTCACTGACAAATCAAAGGGTATGATAAATAATCTGGTTAAACAAATCAGTTTAACTGCAATTTAGAGTTGTGTCATTGACAAATCAGACGCAGGGGGTGGGGGTCATTGTTTAATTAATTGAAATGTAGGGAGGACATATAAGCACTTTAAGGATAACAGCCAGCATCCTACGAACTCTACATGTGACCCATGAAATGACAGGTAGCACTTGAATTAATCTTAAATTTGTACATAGTAACAAGGAGTCACCTGCAGGTGTTTGCAAGACTGGCCTTTAACAGGAATCTTAATACGCCTGAAGCTGTACAGGCAAAATTGGAATTACAAGCACAATGGCTAAATAAATGGGAAAATAATTAAATGAATCAAGACTGGCCTTTAACAGGAATCTTAATGCGCCTGAAGCTGTACAGGCAAAATTGGAATTACAAGCACAATGGCTAAATAAATGGGAAAATAAATAAATGAATCAAACACTACGGGGCAGACAGTCTGTTAGAACTATAAATGCTTATTGTCATCATTAAAGAGAAATGCTTCAAACGGAAACCTCCACCACTTTCCCAACAACAACAAACCTAGTAAAAATCCCACAACTGTAGAGTCTGGGGAGGGTGTGTGTATGCAGACCTTACCCCTACTCGAAAGTGGAGATGTTGTTTCCAAGAGACCTTCACTTCTTTCCATCAGGCATAATTGCCATATGATGTGCATATCTAATTGGAAGAGGAGTCTATGTGGATGCAGCCCTTTTGCTTAGAAAGTTAATTAATTATTATGCTGCATAGTTTTTTAGTAGGGCAGTATTAATTTATATCCATATTACGTACTTTAGAAATCTATCATAAAGCAAGATGCCTATTTATATTACCCTCTCAAGCAATACAAATCATAATAAACAATCAATATAATCTGAGAAGTGATGGAATCTTCTTTTCTCTTCCAGCTACTGGCAACAAGAGAAATAACTCTTGCACCCTAATACCCAAATTTAACTTCCTCCAATGCACACAGCTAACTATAGCCGACCTTGGACCCAATCGATATCCTAATCTATTAACACTAACATTTCTGTTTTGTTCACAACTCACACACAGAAAAGAATGAAGTTCAGTGGAGGTGGGTGTAAAAGGATTTCTTCTTGACATGGACAAAAGATGTTTAGTCTATTTCATCGAGTCAACACCAAAAGAAGCCTTGGACAAGAAAGCAGCATACCTTATAGGACAATTTAGAGAAATCCTTGATGGTCCCTCAATTATCTCAGAATCTACATTGTGAAGAAAATTGACAGCAACCATCAGTACTGATATCACTTTCCGTGGGAGCACTTAGCTATATAGCAAGTGCTAAAATTTGAAGGTTGAAGGGGATTGGGAAGCAAAGATTAATTTAGTTGCTTTTATTTCCTTTCCCCCTTTTTTGATAAAAAAACATTTTAGCAGTATGCTTGACATCACCATTTCAGTAACATGTAAGCAGATCTAACCTAAAAACTAACAGATCCAAATTTGTCTTTAATATATCCCTTTTCTAAAACATTATTGAGGACTTGAGGTAAAATTTCAAAATTGAAAGGACCTAATCATACTTTAACAGATTTCACAACATACTCATTAGTTGACACATACAGGATAATGAAGGTCACACAAATATATAAATCGATGTGTACCTGGATCTTTTGATGCTGGAGCAGGTTGCACATAATCTGGAAGAGTGGCAGGGTCTGGAGTTGGCACCATGCTCATAAAGGCAAGAGTAACGACGTAGTTTCCTTTAAGATGAAAACCAAAGAGTATGCTCTTACACAGATCAGACATAAATGGAAATACTTGATGCTGCAGGAGGGTTTTATACACCTACCATTAAATTCGCCAACAGCCTGAAGAAGATTTGTTCCATATTTAAGCATATGCGATACAATTGTTGGAACCTGAGGTCCAGTATCCTAGCAAGAAGATTCATCAAAGAAATATCACTAGTCATAACTTGCAGTAAATAAACCAATGGGGACTTGATCATCTTGTGCCTATAATAGTACTTCAAAAAATATTTGCTGAAACATACAGTTGATGTGTTTGTTCGCTTTTCCACTCCCCTCCCATTGAGAAGAAAGCTGCAAATACGAAGTAAGATGGAAGCGCAGAATTATCAGACAAATTAGATACTAAACACCTCTAAAATGCATATTGATATGGTGCTGACAAAAATAGCAAGGGATGAGGTGCAATTTGTTATACTAGGGAGTAGAGTGGGGTCTATGAATCTATGCTTTTAGTACATTACAAATCACACCCCATCTGTTAGACTGTTAATATATATTAGATATCAGCCATGTAATCTTCCCTGCATGTGTTTGTTTACGGAAAATTGGTTTCATACTTTGCCAGAGGGGGGTTCACAAGGCATGATGATGTCTCTGTGTTATCTATTTGAACAACCAGTAATCTCTGTAGACAAAAAAGATATGAACATAAGATGCTAGAACTTGACAACATTTTCAGAAAATATTGAATGAGATGCATGAGTATAGTGCATATAAAGTTAATATCATAAACTATATGTTGTTAAGTCAGTTGCCCAGGAGAACTTATTAGATAGATAATAAAAACAAACAATGAATGCCAATAAGAGGCTATTAGTAACATTATTAGAATGTGCGCGAGAACAGAAAGCAGCACATGCTATGCACGGAGGCAAAACCCAAATTCAAACTGAATTTATAATATATAATGTTAAGGAAGTGATGAAAAATATGATGCATTTCTGGCCGGAAAGACAACCACGATTGGTGCCCGCAGAGAGCAATGACTGTGAAACCACATCTGGAAGAAATTAATCAATCGTGTTCTTTTTCTTTCCTATTTTTATTTGGCAACTAGTTATTTGTTAGGATCTCTTAACTTAGTTTTCTTGTTTCCTTATTAATTTAGAATTGTATGCCGCTATATAAAGTACGTCCTAAGCTTATTTATATTTTATGGAATGAAGAAATTAATGAGTCCTTTCTTCCTTGTTGTTCTGTTGATTTTCCTGCTCCTCTGTTTGAATCTCGGAATTGGCGCATCATAGATACAAATTTGTCCTCTTCCTCTGTTGCACAGATATCTTCTATACTCCGTCCTTTTTTCCTTCACTCTTTCCTTTTCATTACGTCCAAAAATTAACTCATCTTTCCTTTAAAAAATGATTATGTCGTTGATATTGTTTTATGTCTTCTAGGCAAATTTAAATCACAAAATTTCCATTTTATTAAGGACGGTGCAAAGTTAAATAAGAGACGAGGGGAATACAAGAAGTTAAATATTTGGAGGGGGGGTTGATTTCTTAACCACCAAGATAAAAGTAAAAGCATTTGTAATCATAAGATATTGGAATAAATCAGAACGGCCAAAAGCCAGAAACAATAAAGGTTTCACTCTGGGGGGAGGGGGGGTACCTAAGCATATTAGCTAAACGAGCGTACATATATTCATAGGAACATTAGAAGCCAAAAGTAGCATAGGTTGTTGGATCATAGCATGCTTTTTGAGCAAATTAAAAATGCATTTGATAAGATTACAGATCGGAGAATGATTTGCAACCAATGAATGAAGTACGTACTAATTTCGCTTCTGGAGAAATCTTCACATTCTTCGATATTTGAAAGTCATTGATGAAAGTGCCATATCCGGGCTATAATTTAGAAAGCAAAAATGTAGCATCAGCCTTAAACCAATTCAAAGTGCAGAATGCAGTAAAAAGCTCACTCATGAACTTGCACACAAAGAGGTGGCCAGTATACACAAGTACCTTGACTTCTAAAAAGGCAAATATCTCACCCAGTTTTAATTGAGGATAGAACCTGCAAATGCAGTAGAATTCTTCAGCTATCACATTGAGGTGGTAGTTGCCAAATTCTAACTTGCTATTTTCTACAGGACTTATGACTCCACAAAACTAGCTTACATCCCATAAATGGCTCAGTTCAACAATATACCACACATGGTGTGTTCGACTAGCATGACAAAGAGAGATTCATAGTAAAAAAACATACCTGGACATAACCATTGAGATAATAGATAAAGAACTGCTAGGTTCACATTTGAAATTTGTTGAACTGCAGAAACTGCTAGAAACCTGAATTATTCATACAAACAAAAAAAAAGGTGAAACTGGTATGCTATGAAGCATTGAAACAGAGATCGATGCAAAAGAAGAAACTAGAGAGAACCTCATTTGCAAGATTGCATAGATCTTCAGAGTCTTTTTCAGAAAACCACCCACTCTGACAAGCACTCTATAAGTTAAAAAATGGACAATGAAGTCAGATAAGCTGTTATAGAAAACCTAAAGAAAGCTCAACTTAGCATTGACTTTCCCTAGCTAAATTTTTCACAAATTTATACTCCGTACTATATACATAGTACATACATGTGTGTATGTACTATGTAAGGAAATATTTCTGGCAGTCTAGATTGCTTCGGTTGGGCTTAGTAATCCACAATTGGATTGTTCCTAACAGTTCAGATGCTTTTAATTAGCTTAAAACTTACAAGTAATATAGTGATGGATCACTAAACCTTCCTGAACAATCAAAAGGCCTGATATGAATACACACACAGACACGTAACTAAATTAGTGTCTACTTTTCACATATATTTGTTAATTCTTTCCTATTTAGGCCATCCAAAACTTCGTTCCACTTCCCTTTTAAGTATAAGATTGTATGGTCCATATTGTTTATCTTTCCTTCAAACATATTTTATCCACAAAATTTCAACCTTATCAAAAAAGGTGCCAAATCAAACATGAAACTAAGCTATGAGACAGGGTGAGCATACTAGATGGCGTTAATTTTCACTTATGAGCAAACCATAAAACTTTATGTGTTTCTTTACTTTAAATCTTTAATATGGAATTAGGATAATCTCATCACTAATGAAACACATCAACTGACCAACAATATTATACTTCATCTGTCCCAAGAAGTTGTTTTTTGTTTCATTTGTTGTGCATCCCATAAAACACTTCTACCCACATTTATGTCTAACATTCAATTAAATTCTCCTTTATTGCGGGTAGAAGCTGTTTTGGAGGTATTTTAGACATTTGAGATGAGTTAGAAGTGTTTTATGGGATGCACAAAAAATGAAACACGAACATCTTTTAGGGACGGAGGGAGTATGCATCAGGTTGTTCATGTGCCCTAAGGGCTTTTCCTTTCCATCTTAATTTTAACTCTAACTTAACTTACTTAAGTCTTGAGCCCAGTAACTAGAGTTCGAAGTCTAGAAACTAAAACATGGAGTCTGTAGTCTGGAAAGTAGATTTTGAGGTCTGAATGTGATAGTAATTTTAACTAAAACTTAAAAGACTGAAGTCTGGAGATTGGAGTCTGGAAATTGGAGCTTGGAGTCTAGAAACTAAACACTAGAGTCAATAGTATAGACTAGAGAATGAATAACTAGAATATAAAGTTGAAAAAAATGGGCCCTAGATCAGTATAGTAATTCGCCTTGCATAGAAGATGAGTCATTCCTTTTTATGTCAACTTTTGTTTTTATAAGCATTGCACCACGTGCAACTTTTGTGCAGAGAAGATTAGTCCAGACATGTAGCTACTTCACAACTCTGCTTGCCCTGGTGAATGGTAATCTAGCAATTTATCATTCACCATCGACGAAGAATCTTTGATTGAAACTAATAATCTGTATATTTCTATGATTGAAAGTACTGGAGATATCCGACTCAACTATTTATAAACTCTGGTTACAACTGAATGATCAATAAAATAACACCACATCTCTTTTCGGGATGACAACTGACTGACCTCTAGTGGACCTATCAGTCCTATAAATCAGCAACTTCAAAACAGAATTAAATTTAGTGTTAGGGACCTTCCACGAAGATAATGATCCACTTCTTTCTCAACGAAACTCCAAAACTTGTGATGCACGTAAATTAATTCCTAAAATCAAAACTACAACCCTTTTAATAAATATTAGTAAAAAAATCAAGACTAATTTTTTTAATTTAATTTCAACACACCAATAAAATCTGCTAGAGTGGTGTGTATGCAAACCTAAGATAGAGTGGTGTGAGCCGCACAAATATTACCAAATATGGTATGGGACAATGATAGTGAAATGGATAAAAAGGTAAAAGGGGAGAAAGTGGTGGGATGGAGGGAGTATTAAATAAAAAGGTATTTAATAGAAATGTATAATGTGCCCTAATGGCCTATTTTTGAAGAAAGTACTAATGCACACTACAATCATGTTTACAAAAAACACTTAGACACAGTGTCCAACACTTAGAGCACAACCAATGGATCACAAACGCAATTAATATAACATGTAGCATTAATTTGGTATTGCTAAGATAAGAGTCTAACCCATACATAACTTTTTAACCAAGCTATATTGGGCCATAAAGTTGAATGTTGATAAAATAAAGTGCAAGAAAGAAGCAATCACCTGTAATTGGACCCTATATCACATATTCAAATGAAATGAACATCGATAGTAAATCATCATTAAGTAGTTGGCTATCATTCAATATTTACCTTAACAGAAATCATAAGAACCATGATTGCAGCTTGCATAAAAGCATCACCTTTCCGCCTACACACCTACAACCATAAAATAATTTGGTGCAAAAACAGTGATGTTTAAGAAGCAAAATAAAAGCTGTGTTACAACACATATCATGTAGGTGGGATATCCCATGTATAAAGGTGGTGCATGGATTGTATGATGCCAAAACAGACCATCTCCACACACAAAATATACATTTGAGGCCTTGGGGGAGATTTCAATAGCATTTTCATCATTAAAAAAGGAGGGTAAGATTTGGACAACCAAGTTTTTATGTGTGTGAAGAGGCATTGAGTATTTACCAATCTCTTGTAGACTAAAGTGAATAAAGGAGAACTTCTCCCCTGGCTTGAGTGATAGGAAATCCACTCTCCAGGATTTATGGGGAAGTTCATCGAGGTTCGAGCCCCAGCGGAGGTAAAAAGCATTAGCTCTTTGTGCGTCATTAAGTTGAGAATAGTATGAACAGATACTACATTGTTATAGAGTCAATAGCATTAAAAAAAGTGAATAAAGGAAGTATTTATCCAGAGCTAAAGGGGGTATAATTTAACTAAAGAGTACTTTTCAAGGAATTAAACATGATCTTCAGAGTGCTCTCAATGTTTTAAACACGCTAGGTGTCCCTTAGGGACCAAAGCTGCCTGAACGTGCTAAGGTTGGAATTTATGGAGGCCTAGACAATCTTAGGCGGGAATAAATTGTAGGCGGCTAAGTGAGGCCTACCTAAGCACTGACGGAGCTAGATAGGGATTTTTAGAGCACGAGTCTCTCTTAGAATTCTTTCCTTATTTTTCCACCTTGGTGATATAGAATGGAAAATTCGCAAATGAGATCGTAAGATAGTTAGATGTTTTTCTAGAAGACGGTTTATTTAATTTGAATGTCAAATTTTGAAGTGATAAGGAACCTGCTTAAACAATGAAGGTAACTCAAAAGCTTTGTTGGGAATATCATGGCTTGAAAGAGCACGGTCAATGCCTCTGCAATAATCAGAGCATATGGTCAGCAAAACTGAATGTGAATGGACAAACTTTTGGTAAATAAAAAAAATAAAAACATAGAAATCCAGACTAGAAATTGATTGTTGACTAGCGAGATATAAAAATCAACCACTGGTAATTTCTAAAAGAACAATTCAAAACATTGATTGGAATAGTATATATTATAATCCACAGTAAAGCTTATATGCACCATTAAATTCATTCAAAGATGCAGTTTCACACTTTCACTAAGAAAAATACTCCCTCCGTCTCATAATTTTCTTCTTAGTTGACTTAACATGATTTTTAATAAAGTAAAACGTGTGTGGTTGTGGTTTGTGTAGAATAAAGAGAAATGACATGGACCACATATTTGTTTTCTTTCAAGAAAATTTTGGGACAACCCAAAGAGTAGAGTAGGAAGATAATTATGGTACACAGGGAGTATAAGTATGTTGACTCAACAGCCATTGGTAAGATTTAACATAACATTGAAACAGTGTTAAATGGAAACCTGGTGCAGGTGGAATTAATTTCTGTCTGTGAGTCAAAATGAGGAAGTAAAATGAAGGTCATAGGTTCAAAAGGGATATACATAGTATTCATCAAATATTAAGATGGGAACTAAAATGAACAAGTTTAATGCACTGACAATGCACCCATAATTGGTGTGCAGGTTCAAGAAAGTGAGTTATGTACCCTTGAAGAATCTAGGTCACACAATGTGACCAGCATTACAAAATAACAGAGCTCAGGGTTCTGTAAATTTTTAAGATGTACACAAACAAAAAGAAACAATGCTTTTTTACTGCACCTTAATGTGTAACACATATTTAATCCTTTCTTGTAACCCATACTCCCATGAAGCAGTTTGGGTGTAGATATTTTTTGCATGATGACCACATTAAATTTAAAGCAAATCTTAATTTATGAGCATTTGAGACGGATAACAATATGGCACACCACATTAAAAATCCTCAAATAAAAAAAATCATTTGCATAGATTATACATTTGCGCCACATTTTTGCTGTGGGATGTCATTTTCTTTATTCAAATGCTTTTTGGATTCACTCTCTCAAAGAGCACTCATGAACGGCAAGGACCCCCTCTTTAAATAGTTACAGTACAAGGTGTTAAAAAACTAGTCTAAATGCGCTCAAGTATCTTCTCTAATACTCATACTGGGAAACTCGTCTGGACCAAGTCCTGGAGAGACTCCACAGCTGTTATGCGATTCGGAGGAAAATTCTGGCCCCGAACCCCTGTCATGGGCTCATGGCACCAGTGCGCCACACAAGTTTTCTAAAGGAAAACCCTTAGCAGTTACTAAAGTGGGGAGACTGGAGTTTAGCTCACAACTATCATTTGGCATACAAGACCTTTTTCAGTTATGCCAACTGCCGGGCTACAGGGTTTAGCTAATATATTCCTGAAGCATATAGAAGAAGAAATATTGCAAGTCTCTATTTCCCCCTATTGCAACTCTTCTAAACTTCATTTGATTAAGCATGTCTGATATCCATAGAAGTGGAGAACCTATATATTAGTCAATCAATTTTGAATAGGTTAAAAAACGAAACAAAAAAAAGTATAAAATTGAGGTATCCATGAAAACACTTCAGTTTTACAGAAATATCTATGAATAGTAAAGATTATAGAATTTGCTATGGGTAGGGAAAAGATAGTGAAAAATTCCAGATTTTGGATCAATATCCGGGACTCATTCATCAATATCTGAACTTCAAAACAGAAAATATATTTCTAAAGAAGGAGAGTTTCGGCATAAATGAACCTGGCTAGGGCAAGGCAGAGCTGGCAGAACTCTACGACGTTGTTTATTTCTTGCGGGGAAACATGCAGAGCTAATCGACCTGCGGCGGCAGAGATGCGGAAAGAGTTCAAATACGAATCATTCGATGAGTTTCCGGCGGCGCCGGCGTGTTCACTGAAAGGCGCGCCGAGAGCTGATAGCGCCGTGCCGGTCATCTTCGCAGACGTGCAGTTGCCTTGCTACTTTGCCGGAGCTGCTTGGAACCGCATTTCTATTGAGGAAGACAGTGTCCGTCATAAAGGGATTGTTGGTCAAACAGTTGTTTGTATGGTCCGGTCTTTAAGCAGTATCCGGTCCGGTTTCGGGTTGGACCATGTTTCCAGATCCAATTTTTTTAATTAGCTTATTCTGAAAATATAATTTATATAAATTATAAACAAAAACAAAGTGTACAACTACAAATGATATATATAGGCTGGGCTGAACCAAATCCAAACCCAAACTCATAATTATTATTTCCATATTATAATGAATAAAACAAAATTACTCCTAAGGTGAAAAAAATATGAGTAGTCCACAATTGAATAGTAACAGTTTGTCACTTTGTACCACAAAAGTCAATACATCTTCATCTAGAGTTATTGCCATGTACTTAGACCGAAACTTCTACATCAAAAACACCTGACTATAAGTTCATACATCACTCATCAAAATCCTTTCCAATTAATGGAGCAAGTGGCGTATGATTTCTCCTCCATCATTTGTCAGTTTGTAGAAGTACTTTCTATGACACCTAGACCAAAGCGGTGTTTGAAATTCACTGTGTTTATTCACACTTTAATCTATCTTTTCTTCATGTAAAGTTTATCATTTTAGCTCATTTATTCTATATATATAAACAGTTGTTTAGGCCTTGTAATCTCGTTATTGTGTAACTTGAGACATAAGTGTGTTTACTCTTTTGCGTGATTCAATTTTTATCCCTTTCTTAATTGTTACTTGTATCTCTTAAATTGGCTATTAAGAATGTATATTTAGGAGTCTTTTTGTATACCTCAATTATGATTATTGGAGTATAAGACTAGATACTAAGCACTAAGGTGAATTAAAAGTGTGTAATATCTCTTACGATTCAATTTAGTATTATCATTCTTCTCATCTATTTCGTGAATTTCGACCTCCATTTGGACCTTCACATATTGTCTCTTATATATTTGTTAAAGTCCTAGGCAAAAATTAAACTACATATGTTTCAATCTATCTATCCAGATTGACTTTTTTGAGTTGAATTAGACAAACTTTGAGCTTCAATTACTCTCAATTCGTATTGCACATTAATACAATGAAATAAAATTTTGAAAATTTTCAACAAGTTAAATTTAATAAAATCATTTTATACTAATTTGCACTACCATTTTTGTTTTATTGAAGTTCAAAGTTCATCCTATTTGACTCGAAAAAGCTAAACTAGACAAATACACTATGCCAAATATAACAACTAATTTACAAGACATCAAGTAAAACACAAAAAAAAACTCACTCTATCCAAAAATTATCTTCTCGTTGTGCGTTATGTTGTTTGACTGAAGTTATTTTCAAATCGTTTTAGACGAAAAATGATGTTGAATTAAAAAATAAAAATTACATATTTAAAAACTACTCCGTATATCAAAAGATCTATAAAACTAGTAATGATATGAATATATCATTTTATCAATTGGGCAAAGAAAATAGATGAACAAAGTGGATAAAGTTTGACTTTATGAAAAATAATTAGAAAGATTATTTTTGAACGGGGGAGTACATTCTTTAATTAATTGTACGCATTATAAAAATATAGAATACGGAAAATAAATATAGAACTATAAAACAAATTATATAAATTGAGAAATGAAAACACTAGAAATGAACTGAGAATCTATTGTTTTGTACATCGAGCTAACAATCAACCGCGATAGCAAACAAGTGTTCTGAACGAATCGATGCTCAATTACGTACGGTAATGTATTATCATGTTTTCGTTGTAGAAATTGGCACGAATAATACTTGTTTCACCAAGAAAGACATGACAGATAACATATAGGTTGTTTCTCTCACCAATGCTTTGATGCATTCATTAAAATTGTACATCTCTTCTATACTCTTGAACTACCTCATTTGAGCGTTTAGATCAAATGTTATGGTCAATGACCAAATTGTAGCAATTTTGGGCTCTCTATTACTCTTCACTCACTTATCACTTTCTTTGTTTTTGTTAACACGAATAAGTTCACTTGTTCACTTGTCATTGCTCATTCCACGGGTGGAAAAAGCTTGGATAACCCCACTTTTACTACCATTTTTATACGAAAGGCAAATACAGTCAATATTATATGTGCAGAAGCACCAGTAAATGTCGGTTTTTGGCTTCATTGTCATTGCTCTTCCCAGGTAGCGCATTGAGCTATCTTACCAACAACACTTGAAACACTTTGGTCAATTTTACATTGGAATGATGTCTTGATTATGTATCACATATTGGCTTTGGATTTGCTTCCATTTGTCTCCAATTCTTGCACTTTTGAACCCTGAACTCATGACACATTTCAACCATTGATTTGCCTATGAAAGTGTATAAATCACATTGTTTAACTGCTCAAATTTGACTCTCTTCAGCACAATCCACTTGTGAAAGCTAAAGCACAACAAAAATGTCCCAATTTCCCTAAGAACTTATAAACAGTTAGGAAAAGATGAGCCCATCAATATTCAATATGTGTTTGGATCAGATTGAATTAAACAAAATAATGATACAACAGGGGCAAGCCTGCCTCTTCTCCTGAAATCAAGAAAGATCAAGGCCATGCCAACTTCCTTCCTTCATACAGACAGAATATATATATATATATATATATATATATATATATATATATATATATATATATATATATTTGTATATACACATAAGCCTACATGTTTAAGTGAGATCTAACAGTTAAAAGGTGAATGAATCTTGATATACTCCCCTTTGTGTGTTGAAGAACTTCAGTCCTCAATTTTGCTACTTGAATGGCTTTTGCCGACTGCTAAAACCCTTCTCCATCATATATAGTGTATCTACAAAGCGGCTATCCTGACTTTCTTTTTCTGCACTTGTTGTGCCTTTATAATATTTGCTGGGGGGTGGTCTAACTGATCGTGGAGCTGACCAATGTTTCCTGTCAAAGTTTTTTGGAACAGGTTTTTCGTTTCGCTCCGCGCCCAACATTAGTTTGGGCTTTTGGGGGGGAAGCATCCCATCACAAACTCTGGCCATATCCGTACTCTTTGCTGCTACAAATGGTTTTTCTGGCCTCTCATTCAACTTCAACTTTGGAGCTCTCGCTGACATTTGAGTAGGTTTCTTCACACACTTCACTGTTTCATTTGTTCTGCCCTTCCCAGATCGTGTTGCAATTTCACATAGTGTCCGTGCAGCAGTTAAGCACCTTGGAGATGGTTCGTCTGTTAAAGTCAAAGTAGTTACAGTTTAAAAATATATCCATGCTACTCAAAAGATATTTTAGGGCCCGTTCGGCCTGATTTTTTTTAATCACACTGGTTTTTCTTTTTAACAGATAACAAAAAGGCTCTATCACAAGCTACAGATTTTCTAAGAGAAATGTAAACCACAAGGTTTACAATCTAGAAATGTACCTGAAGAAACGTGGGAAGTAGAGCAAGTTGGTTGACCTCCTGATGAAAGAATTCCATTATCTGAAGCAAGACCTTTATCTGAAAGACCAGTTGGTTGACCTTCTGAAGGAACTTGACTCTGACTTTGGCTTCGGGCGGGTTCACCATATTGAGCTCCGGAAGAATATTTGATCTGATTCCCACTTTCAGGTAGCACAGATGGTTGAGTTCCCGATGGAACTAGACTGTGATCATAAGTTAGAGGTTCCAAATCTACTGCAAAATTAGGGTACCCTTCTTGAGGAGTAGAGATGTTTTTCACCCTTACCCATTTGCCTTGGCAAGTGGTCCTACTTGTTGATGGTTTTGTTGCATCAGGCCCAGATTTGTGATTCCCTGAATACCCATGTGACCAAGGAAAAGGTGGCAAGCCAGTTCGCTCAGAAGCTGGTGCCTTGCCTGAACGTGGATCAGGGGCATTTCGGGAAGTTGCGGATTTGGTTGCATCCAGAAGCAAAGCGTCCAAATCCCTTGATGGAGGAAGTGCAAAAAGATTCAAAATATCCATGGGTTTGCGTAGTGGAAGATCAGCACTTCTTTCAACTGTTTTAGTCTTACCAAGAGCTTCCTGTAACAGAGTGCTTTTAGAGTTTCAGATTAGATAACTTTGATCAAGGGAGATAACTTCTCAGACAAACTCTTACCCAGGAAATATGAGGAAGATGATGTGAAAATTTGGACCATAGAACCCTCCACGTGTTTACACAAAACTAGTAAAAATATACTCCCTTCTGCATACATATTATCAGCATAGGTAGTGAAACTGACCTTATCGTTTGAAGATACAATGGAAGTAACATCAGCTTCGAATGCTGAAGAAGAGACAATATGCATGGGCTCAGCGATCTTATCATCATCTGTGAAACTCTTGACACGTTCGGGCCTCTGAAGTAAGGAGCAAGCACTTCTAATCACATGAAGAAGACTTTCTCCTGAGCTTTGGGCATTCTTTTCCTTGGCCATAGTGAAGTGATGACTCTTAAACTTGCCTTCTAGAAGCTCCTCCATAGACATTTCCTCCAATTTTTCAGCCACGTCCAAAGCATCAGATTTCAAACCATAATTTCCTAAATTGCCTTCATTATATCAGATTCAGATTTATAGACATTAATATTTGAGCATAAAGAGAGAATTTACTTAATAAATTTATGAAAATTGAAAACACGCACTTCATTTTCCAAATTTAAAAAAACACATTCACTTCACCACGACAAAACCAATATAATCCAAACTTCATTGGAATCAAGATGTATGCAAAAGTGCAAAACTTCAGAGAAAGTAAGAAGAAAGGAAAGTTTATGTGTCATTTTGATTTAGTCCATTATTTAGCCAAAGCTTCACTATTTTTCAAATTTAGAAAATAGAAATATATTCTCCAGTTTTTCAGTTTTTTTTCACTTAAATAGATACCACTTTTTATGTTTTCTTTTTCAAAGTTAAAACAAATTGGCGCATGCAACTACAACCACCATGTACACCACTAAAGGCAATCCCTACAACCCTGTGGCTGTCTGAGACCCTACCTAAACCCCTAGTGACTCACACCAACAGGCAACAACACAATATCTACCACTATCGACATGGCTACCACTGATAACCATTGATATTCTCATATACCCAATAACTACCACCAATGATTGACGTCCTATTAGTGCCATCAACAAGCAACGAACATCACCAATGTCTGCAACCACCACCACTGACAATCAGCCATTGCCATGACCAATCCCACTATGAAGAATGTTAGCGCTACTATCAGTCTATAACTGTCAACAGCCATACATGCAACTATGCCACCACCGTGGACCGCTGCTACTTTCAACTGTTGTCGCCGTCAACCACAACCGACCACTGACGCGCCACCAATCACCACCAAAACTACACAGCCAACCAACCAAAGTCACCAACTGCTGTCACCGGGCACCAACCACTACAGGTGGTTGCAACACCACGAATGCGTCATTAGAAATATGTGTTGGTACACATGTTTTCCAATTTTTTACAAAGAAACAGAGAATGAATAATGAAAAACTAGTAAACAAAAAATAGTTAACAAAAAAAGAAAACCTAGACAATGGAAATCAGACGTAAATGGATCCAAATAATTCTAATATGTCTTCCCATCACTATCAAAGCAATTTGGCCACGGTTTAGTTTAATAGAATCAGACATCAGTCAATAGTATTATTTACAATTTAAAAAAAATGTCTAATAAAGCCAAGAAAAGTAGAAATACTATTACATGCCTTATGCCACAAAGTAAAAACCTTAAAACTCCAAACATCTGTGAGCAGGCATATTGGCTTATTAAATACAACATTTGGCAGAAAAGACAAGAAACTCTGTAGTGCATTATTTAATCATCAAACTATAAAAGCAAATTTCAAATACAAATGGTCAAGTCAAACTAACTTAATGAGGTATATTTAGTCCCAAAATGAAATGCTCTATAAAATGGAACCAGTTGCAACAAAAAAACTATGGCAAAAGAGGATATGATAATAGAACCAATCTCAAGAAAACAAAATATTTACTTCGGTGCAGTGTGCATGCGTGGCAACTGGCATGCAAACTACCAGATTTAGCCATCTAAATTCAAATCCCCAAAGTTGATTTTACTATTTCATTATGCATTTGTATGTATTATTAACAGAATATGCATGGTTATCATAATAGAGAGAGTATGCACATTCTATCAATTTGAATGGTATGTTTATCACCTAATTTATGCCTACTCGTCCTCAAGTTTTATATGGAGATTATGAACTATTTTTGTTCTTGAATTTATAACCACGGACAGAAGACTAGTAGCACCCTTCTCTCTTACTATGATGACCATTGACCTACGATTATGTATCGGATTCAGCTAGGAGGGAAAAACTTGCAATGTCATAGCTGCTCATGGTTATTTTGGCTGATTGATTTTCCCACATGCTAATATGTGGCAATGTGAGATTCAGGAGTATAATTAAATTTAAAGGTTTAATGACTTCTGGTAAATTTTTTCAATCATAGCATACCACACAACAAACTGATACTCTGTATTAAATATAAACATTAAACAGTTAAAATGGGGGGAGGCTCCCCCCTCCCACCAAATGTCCTCCATTGTTCGTAGAGACTTAGGGTAATGACCGGAGATAAACATCTTAGGGCCATGCCTCATGCTAAATAGTAATTTGTAAAGCATTAGAACCAACATTGATCAGACAAGGCATGTAGCAAGGTATACGAATACTCATGTGTTCTTGCACACGTAGCATAGCTAAATCTTTATATCATGTATTGAGAACGGGTGAAAGAGGTAAGGTAATGCCAAATGCTTCCATACCAAGAAAGTTGTGTCCACCCGCAGCTGAAGAGAAGCTAAGCAAGCCATTCTTTAGGGAGAAATTGCCCTTGGAAATTTTTCCATTTCTTTTGTCCCCTCTCTTGCCACTTGAGTTGTTCCTTAGCTTAGGCATTTGAGATTTCTCTATAAGGTATAAAATGAAAACAAAAGAAATTCTAAATATAAATATGATACAGTCACTAATGTTTTGACCATTCTACGACACAAGGTAACTTTTGATTAACTATGTAGAAGAACTACAAAATAGACACATATAGGTGGAAGTTTTAATTCAAAGCAATAAAGAGTAATATAAAGTACGAAGTTTAAATTAACCTTCTCCAGTCCATCAATTATAGATCACACAGAATTTGGGTATCCAGAAGCAGATTACATTTTCAATTATCACTTGTTTTTAATCTAGATATTCAATGCCCACTTAAGTGTAACATTCTTTGGGGCTTCTGTCTCATAGCCAATGTACATTTTACGGTGAGATATTCATCATTATTTACAGAAAAGTAGATATAGGCAAGACACAATTCTACATAAATGGTAAACAAATACCCAATCATGACAATATAAATCAACTTAAATCTATAGTGTGGCTGAAAAAATGCTACCTTCAATACAAAAGTTTAAGAAAATGGGATGGAGAAAAAGAAAAATTACTTTCCCGGGCTCTACTCATCTTCCTTTCATCCAAAGATGAAATTGTGGAAAGTCTCACTCCCATTAAAACCCAACAAAAAGTAATCGCTCAATCCACTTTTGAATAGAACCCCTTCCTCCAGATATATGATATATCTATGAGTATTACCAAGTACACCAAATAAATTTAAAGGAAAACATAGACAAACTTGCACAGTCCATATATGATCATTATGCCTTTTCCAATTCTATACAGGAATGGATTAGGTACCAAAAAAAATCACTTTATATAAATATTCAACCTTCCCTTGTTTGAGAGCCAATTGTGAGTTGAATAATCACATGATAACACCAAATGCATTAATAATTTTATATGAACTATATGTGGAATTTACAATATCAATCATTTAGTGGGACGTGACTATAGAAACTACTCCGTATTTCAACATATGGTTGTCTCATGATAATTTTCCATGCAAATGTGAAACACCTATGATGATGACGGGTTTAAAATCTTTATTTCATTGTTTCTTTGTAAGAAGATTGCAGCAAGAAGAACATCCATCAACAAACTCCCCCATAAACTTTCAAATGGATAGCAATAAAAAAATTGAAATTTTATGTCAGTGATCAAACATAGTGGGGATCAAGGTGTTGAGCAATGGCGGCGACAAAAACAAGTGCCATTCGGCAGGTGATAGCATTACCTTGGCTTATAAAAAAATCAAAAGTGTGAAGCAGAAAATCATAAAATACTGTTTGTGCTTAAGAGCTCGGTGAGGTTTACAATACACCATTGTTGAACCTCAACTAACAGAAAAATATCTATGTTAAATTAGTCCTACCCTAAACAACTGCTTCTTTTACAAAATATTTATAAACATCAGTAAAAAAAATGTCATTTTCCATGCTAAATGAAGTTCAAACCTAAATAACTATTTAAAGAAAAAACACACTAAAAAATTGTCATACTATACCATAGAGAACAACAACAACAACAACAACAACCCAGTTAAATCCCACAAAAGTAGGGTCTGGGGAGGGTGTGTGTACGCAGACCTTGCCCCTACTCGAAAGTAGAGAGGCTGTTTCCAAAGAGACCCCCGGCTCAACGTCGAAAGTTGCATTGCTTGACTAACTGCTACTTCATTAATTAAAGAAGCGCAGACAATTTAGAGATCCATTTTGATTTATTCCATCACACCCCAAAGCTAAAAATGGTGAAATTTTGGCTCCATCGGAGATGATGGAAAAACCAAAATGCAAGTGCCATGTGTATGACCACGTGAACAACGTGGAAAAATTTTACTTAATCCAAACATTCACCAAAAGCCTTGTGGCATTCAATCAAACTTCAATTTTAAGTACATACCTCTATAATGGCATGCATATGGGTGCTACTAGCAATATGTTTGGCATGGAAATATGTTATTTTTATAATTTTATATCATTACAAAGTAAGCTGTTATAACCTTATAAAGATCCAAATTTTTGGTAAATCAGATATGGATGATAAATGTTTGGCAAACTGTTAAAGAAACGTCCTGCATCACACGGTAGTCTGTCAAACCAATCTTGAAGCATATAGAAACCCAGTCTTATAAAATTCATTACCTCCATTGTTTCCGTTTGAAAGATTTGATAAGAGCTCTATAGCTATTGCACCAACTTCACCAGTTTTGGGTACGGAACCATTAACCTCTAGCATCTTCAACCCTTTAGAACTACCAGCAGTGTTCCTTCCAACTTTCCTAGGTGTAAGCTGTAACTCAGCATCTACCTTTGCTATCTTTGCAAGATTAGTATTTGTGCAGCCAGAAGTGTGACCTTCTGAAGTTCCCTTGTCCCATATGCGTGATTGTTGATCATCATTCCTATAAATTTCATTTCCTGTAACATTGCTCCACGAAGGTACTGAAGAGTAATCATCTGCCATGAACATATGAATATAAGTTTCAAAAATTTGAACAAACAAAACCACATTTGTCTCCATCACCAAATCAAGATAGGAAGATGATGCAAGAGAGCAAGTTCTGAGTAATTTGAAGTTGATGTCATATTTGCTGAGCCAAACAAAGAAAAATATCCATAAATAAATGTAAAAAAACGAAAATCGCTAATCTTTTCCTAAAGTACTAATCTGACTGAATATATCCGAACATGCCTCACAATCACTTTCCTCTCAACAAAAAGTTCAGAAATAGATTAACACATAACAATTGAAGAAGATAGCCAAATATGGAGAACTATTGCAAAATTGAGAGAAGAGCTTATACGTTTTACAATTTTACCACAACAACCCCGAATTGATAGCCTATAGTAATGCAGAAACAGACAAACAAAATCAGCAAGGCCACCTTTACTGCTGACTGCGGAGGTCCACTTGTCAAAGGGCCGCTTAATTCCGGCAGAAACAGCTCCCAATTTTCGAACCTCCCCTTCCTCCGCAGAAGCCCTAGTCCGAACACCTCCGGCTAAACTCTCCGATCCCATAAGCTCAAATCAACAGACAAATAGAACCCCTTCCGCCGGGAAAAGCCACATCCGCCGCTCCCATTACCGCACCGACAGCCAGAGGCCCCCAACCTCCAACTAAACTTCAAAAAGAAAACCCGTTCATACTCCGAGTATAAACAAATTCGAGATAAATTAGAAAAACAAAACTCAAGATTCAGCTGCAGTGCACTGGATTCAGTGAAAATGAAAGGGAAAGATTGGGTTTTGAGCAGAAATTGGGGGTTTTTTCAGCAGGTTGCGGCTGGGAAGCGAATAACGGACGGCTAGGGCACGAGGATGGGGAGTGTGGATGAGAGGTATTTATACTTTTCGGGAAAATGAGGAGAGTGGATCGAGGTCACTCGCCGGGGAGACATATTCCGGTGCGGTCGTCGGCATAGTCAACGCCTGGCTCTCGCTTTGCCACATCGTAATTCTTGCACCCACGTGGCATTATCCTTTCTTTCTTGGGCCGTATTCAGATGCGCCGCACAACATTTTGTTAGAGTTCCTTATGCTCCATAAAGTCCATAGTCCATCCCTTCCTTTTCAAAGTGTTTCATTTCCTTTCCAAATACAGATTATGATATTTGATCAATAATATTTTTTAAAATATATTAATTAAAAATTATTAAAAATAACGCACGGGCTCACATGTATTCTAAATTTTGACATCTAAAAATAAAATATTATTTATTTTAAATTTTTTATTCATGATATATGTTTGATAAATAATTTCTAACTATTTTAAAGTTTTATACAAATGTAATGGTCATCAAATAAAAAATAAAAATAATGAAAATCGGTTTAATTAATAAAAATTAAAATAAATCAATAAATTAATGACACATCATTAGAGAATGCATATCTGTCATGTGTCACATGTAATCCTTCAATTAAACTTTCACTTTGTTTAGTTTGCTAAAAAATATGTAATAAAATAAATAATGTAATAAGACAAAAGATTAAAATATGTTATGAACTTAATAAAGATGCATGTGTGATAAAATTTTTATATAATAGTTTCTTTTGAGATGATGGATAAGTTTAAAAATTATAAGAAACATTGTTTTTTTAATTAAAAATTTTATATAATTTTTTAATACTATAAAATAGTCGTGCATATTTAAAAAATATGTTAAAACAACAAAAAATATTTCTAAAATAGTTAGATAGTGAAAATTTTATAAAAACGAACAAACATAAGGGTTTTTTATTGTTGGAAAGCAAAGGGTATATAAAATATAATAAAAATAATGATTTAATACAAAATTAAATATGGATGTGTGGAGTGACATGTGTCTTGCGATTTACATGTGGCATGACACATGTCAGTAGTATGCACGTGTGGCATGACACATGTCATCACTACAAATATTTAACTCTCTTTTACATATATAAATAGGATGATATTGATCAATAATATTTTTTAAAATGTATTAATTAAAAAATATTAAAAATAATACATTAAAAATATTTTTTGATATCAATAATTTTATATAATTTTTATAGTTTAATTCATTATATATTCTTATATATAATTAGTCATGCATTTGACATCCAAAATGAAAGAGACAATTAAAAAGAAAAAGAAGTAATATACTCCCTCCGTCCCTAAATATTTGCAACGTTTTCTTTTTCAGCGTCCCTAATAAAATAAAATATTCTTGACACCTCTTATTTCAAAGAATTTTTCATGTAGTTTTTATATATATAAATTTTATTTTTTATTTCTATACCAATATGTAAATAAAATGAATTGAAAAAACTTGATATTTTGCCTCGGGAATACAAGTGTGGCAAGTATTTAGGGACGGTGGGAGTATCACATAGAAGCACGCTAACAAAGTCATACTAGGGATAATCAGGTACTGCGGTCTTAGTGAGTCAATTTCAACTTGATGTATAATTATTTTGATTGACATGACATCTAAAATAGCATAATTGTAACATATTTAAAGTAATAAAATAAATTAATTAGACTCAATATGAGCATTTTTTATTAATATAATGAAGGAATCCAAATTAAACTTTGTAAAATCATCTGTCTTCTTTCTCGTCTTCCTCCCCAAATCACCTTAGCCCCTGAGCTTTCAAGGCACTTTGTTTTCTCTCTCAACGTATTTTTAAAGGTCTCCAATCAGTTTTCTCATTTTTTTTTCTTATTTTACGTTTCACAATAGTCTTCCTTCGCTCTCACCTCCATCTAGGTTGAGAAACAGACTCGCCCCTAATTATAAGTCTATATTAGATTTTGATTTGTTAACAAATGGTTTACTAAAGTAGACGACATGCTTACCCAACCTCAGAATGAGTACACCAAAGTGGCATCCCACGGAGTGAAGTATCGAAAATATTCGTACAGCCCAGACTATAGTTAATTGCCCGGGTGATAAGCGATTAATACGTAGATCGAGTGTGTGGCAAAATTGAGGAAGACAGATGATGAGATCTAATCGTTCTCGTACAGAAACAAAAGGGGATTGATTGGGTCCCGCTGATCATTGATGTGATTTAATGGGTAAACATAACTCCATATGTTTGAATTTTTTTTTTAAAGAAATCAACCTGGACAAGATTAAAATATTGATGTTATACCAAAAAAGACTTGTGTTAATATTTTCAAAACAATAGTATTGCACTATGACTATGTTATCAATTTGATAGTTATATTGACATTTTGCAGTATTATTTAGTATTATATGTTGACATCATTAGTATTATAAATCTTATTTTAGAATAAAAATATAGAAAATTATATTTTAGTATATGAAGTAAGTTTTAGTCCTATTTTAGAATTTCTCTTAAATTTATTCTTATGCATTATTTACATGGCCAAACTCTATTCATTTTCTTTGCTTATTTTCACTACTCGTTTCATAATATACTCGTAATCTGTGGCGGACCCAGAAAATATGTATAGTGAGTTCATAAAAATTCTAAAAGATAAAGAATTGCAAAAAGGCTAATTGTAATTAATATTAAGTCATACAAAGTACCGAAGTCAAACCTCAAGAAGTCAAATATTACAAAAAAAGACCAGATATAATAAATATTAAGTCACACATCAACTAGCACTACAATATCATCTTTCTAGGCTTTATTGCTTGAAAATATTGCATGATATCATCATCTTCGACCTTATCAAAACTATCAATCTTTATATATAAGTTAATAAACAAGCATTAAACCAATCATCTCCTATTCGATTGTGCAATTTATCCTCGACCCAATTCATTTCCGAAAAGACCTTTCCCACACTCTCCGTTGCCACCGATAAGATCAAAGCCAATTTACCAACAAATAAATCATGGGAGAAGCAATTTGTTTGTGCTTCTCAACCATTTTTGAGCAATATCTCTTATTCCTTTCAAATTCGAAAATTTTTGATCACTTTTCAAATCAAGAACAAAAGTCTCAAAAGAGGAGAAAAGGAAAGAAAGATCACAAAACTCATCAAATTTCTTCAGTAGAACTTAGCAAACTCAACCAACTTTAGAGTGTCAAATGCAACAAACAACTTCTGAGGATCAAGACAAGTCAAACATTCAATTAAATTTGTGTTGACATTGTCAAAACGACCATTCAATTCAAGAAATTGTTGGTCAATCACGTATCAAATAGCATCACCTTGAAATATTCCCAAAACTTGAATGTGGACGGATATCACCTAGATCTTCCTTTTAGATGATAAATATCTCCTTGATTTGGAATATCAATAATATTCTTCCTACAAAACTCAATTGTCTCATCAAGTAACTTGTCAAAACTAATATGCTTCAATTTTTGCGAAATAAATTTTGCAATGTTCACTAAAGCAATTGCATTAGGAATATCTTGATCTTTTCTTTGTAATGTTTGTGACAAATCATAAGTAATTCCTAAGACTTGCTAAAATCAAATGCAAAATTAATATGAATTCAAAGTCATCAATAGCATACAAAATGGTAGATGCTTCTGTTCTCACTGCATCATTCTTCGGATCATCTCTAATGATTTTCATCAAATCAAATATAGGAGAGAACAATGAAATAACACTCACAATTGTATGTAGTGGGGCCCCAACCTGTGTCACCCAGTCTTCTCAAAGTAGTTTCTTGATTAGAACAGTAATGCCCAAAATCCGGCCTATCAGAATTAATTAATTAAAAATAGTTAATTAATTACTAAGACGAACTTGGTGGAATTATAAAATGCTCTTTGTTTGATAAAAAAAGTTTATATCATTGCGTAGGATTCGATTGAACAAATCCAACAGTGCAAATGGATTCGGATTTGGAGCCTGTGGGGCTTGAAAAGTGCATTTTGAGTCAGGTACGTTAAGTTGATACGGACCCCAAAACTCTAAAACCTATAAATACACATATTTACACGCTTAAACCTCTTTACACGCCACCCATATTTACGTAAACCATCTCCTCTCTCGTCTCTCTTTTGTCGATCAAAGAACAACATGCGAAGAACAGAACCAAACATAGAAACAACAGAAAAGGAGAAGAAAAGAAGGAAGAAGGAATGAAAAAGAGTCTAACGCCATTGTTTCCCGTTTGTTTGTAATATTGTTAAAAAATATTCGTCGAATTTGAGGTGAGTACGTGGACATCTAATGTATGGTTATAGTCATAGTTTTGAATCTTACGTTCGTAGAGTCGTTACAATTGAACTCTGCAAACCCACATGAATTATGTCTTGTTTACATTATGTATGGTTTGAGAAGCATGAATTGGGCTAGATATGCTTATGAGCATGTTAGATAATGTTTGAATATAAATTTAGAACCTATTGATGCCTGCTCTTTTGAGTTTTATATTGGTCTGATGTATAAAAATAGAGCAGGTGTAGAGTCGGGTTTTGCCGCAACAGACGGTATGCCGGTACCACTAGAACGGTACCGAGCTACCACCACTTTCCTCATTTTTCCTTCGCTTTGCCAATACCTGTCACTAAAAGATACCTATGTACTGGGCGGATGGTAGGCCCTAACGCCAGGTTGGTAGAGGCTATCGTGACAGGCCTAAGGGATGGCAGTTACAGCTGATATGGACAGTACCCACATATCGTGGGATGGTACCCTAGTATCGTGGGGTTGGTACCACCTACAATTAAGGGTACTATGTGGTACCTCAACCAGACCGAATTTCGTATTTTCATCGAGCATCGATTTCAAGACTTTGTGTGTTACATGACGGTAAACATGGGTGTCAACACCGAGTGTTAGGCCGCTATTTGAGTATATTAAATATGTTGTTGATGCTTGATTGATGTATGAACCTTGTATATATCATTAATAGTTAATGGAAAATGATCGAATTGCCTAAAACAACTCTAGGTAGTGACCTTAATGGATTAGTAGTAAGTTATAATGTAAGTTAATAAGTTAGAGTCATGTGATACCTGCTGGGTCCAATGATTGTTCGGGTAGAAACATGTGCATGAGATCTATGAACTGTCATTCCGAAGGGGACAAAGATCTCTTCCACCCAATGAGGAACTCCATACTTGGTTTGAGCTTAACCTTTGTTTCGAAGGGGAAGGTCATGACACCTATAGTCAAGTCAAATTCAGTTAAGCTTTAACCTATCATAGGTTAAGAGCCAAGTATGATAAAGAAAGTAAACTAAAGAGGAAATTACCTAATACTTATATCATTGTTGTTTGTATCTTATGAACTATTATGACGTTGATTATGCATGTTATACCTTGTATGATGTATGTTTTTTGCTAAGCATGTTGTGTGCATGATACCGTATGATGATATGAGCTAGTGGGATCATCTATGGGTATAGTTGTATGATATATATTTCTCATTTAGCTTCAATGTTAAGCGTGTAATGTTTGTTCTTTTGCTACATGTACGTAATCTAGGGAATGAGGAACTTGGAGCCAATCTTGGAGGGCGATGAGGAGGCTGAGATGTGCATGGCAGTGTTTGATGAGTTAGAATTATTATTTATTATTTGAATTAACTTATTTCCTTTTACGGGCATGATTCCCAAGTTTTGTTTTGAATTATGAATTAAGCTTCCACAAGTGTTTTGATTATTACTCTGATTAAATTTTGAATTATGTTTTGAAATATTTAGTTCAAATGTTTGAAAATTAATTCATGTTTGGATACCAATATAGTAGCAACCCGGTTCGCTAATCTGAGTATTCATGTTTTCGCGGGTTGGAGTGTTACATTTTGGTATCAGATTATATGGTTTTAAAACCAATCTTCGGATTATAAACAAATGGTTTCCAAAAGGTTGCACCATATATATTGCAACTCATCAGCCTTAGGAAGGTAATAAGTTTATAGTTTTGATTGTTATGTGTTATTGACTGATTAGGAATTATGTGTGTAATATAAAATGAGTGAAGCATCGACACACCCTCATGATAACACCCAAACATCTGGGCGGCGAGCACGCCAATGCTGAAACAAAGGCATCTAGCTTTGTGCCTTAGCAGAACGCTGGGCAACCTAATGCACCACTGAACTCTAGAAACAACTAAAACATTGGGAACCAACTTGAGTATACCATGCCTGTTTTCAGGGCTCAATTCCTGCAGCAGATGGCGAACACATCAATGTTTCAACCGCCTCCACCACCGCAATGACATATCACATTTAAAACCCTGAAGGATAACGGAGCTGAAGAGTTCCTAAGAGATTGAGTGGCTAAACCCCAGGTGGCACTTGACTGGATCGATCAAGTTGCTGAGGTGCTGAACAACCTGAACGTAGTGATAGGAGACCACCCAAAGCTAGCCTCTCAACTGCTCGAAAAAGAGCATTCAAATGGTGGAAGCGCACTGACAGCGATCCACAGACACCAAAGCCGTGGACGTGGACCTATTTCGACTAGGACTTCAAGAAAAAGTGCATTCCAGCTCGCTTCTGGGAGGAGAAGCAGATGGAGTTTATGCAACTGCAGCATGGGAGCATGACCCTTGCCGAGCTACGATAGAAGTTTGAGCACCTGACTCAGTTCGCACCTACGCTGGTATCCATGACAACTAATTGAATTAAAGAATTGTGGAAAAGACTGTGTCAGGACTTGCGACCTTGTATATCCATTATGATGACTACCACCGACTTCTCTAAGGTGTACGACCTGATGGCGAAGGCAGAAAAGGACGTGGACGACCTGAAGGCAAGTCTGATTACTAGAAAGACATGACCTAGCCAGCGACCGGTGGCCAATGCGGCACAAAGTAGCAAGAGGCCCATTGGTGGTACTAAGGATACCCAAAACTTCAAGAAGACCAATTCCGAACTAGCTCCGTCGTAGTCGGTGAGTAACCGAAGCAAGCTCTCTAGGCACCCTGTATGCAACATATGCGGAAGAAATTATCCGGCAACTGCTTGTTCACGCATGGCCTATTCACTTAACCTATTCTTGATTTTTGCTATTGCTTTTAGAAACCTTCACAAATGCTAATTGTAATTGATGAACAAAGCAATGAATGTAATATTCTGACTTATTTTTAGCCTAAATCAAACTTTTGGGGCCATTAAACTCACCTCTCATGTTGCTAGCTCCATCATAACCTTGACCACGGCATTTAGATAGGCTAAGTCTTAGTTTAGCAGGAAGCCCTTCAACTGCTAATTTCAAACATATTGATGTAGTGTCTAGAACATGAACAATACCAACAAAATCCTCAATAGTTAGCCCTTGCTTGTTCACAAAACGTAAAACCACACCATTTTCTCTTTAATTGATACATCTTGAGCTTCATCAACAAACAAAGAATAATAGTCATCTCCAATTTCTTGAACTATGCCTGATAAAGTTAAACCAACACAAGCAATAACAAGATCTTTTTGAACTTTTGGAGACGTCATCTTGTTATTGTGAGGAGCATTATTTAAAACCACACTCCACATTTCTTCATTTGGCATATTGCATAAAAATTCTGTCTCAAGAAACAACCTCTTTCTACTTGAACTTTTTTATTCATCATGCCCACGAAAAGGAAGACCATTTCTTAAAAGAAATCCGGTTACAACATGACTACTTTGATCCAAAGGGGAGCCTTGTGTCTCCTGGTTAGATCGCATGGTGTTTATCCACTGCGGGGGAACAGTCCCATTGAATTTAGGCGCAGTCATTCTGACCTTAGGCCCATACGTGTTTGGTACCTCATTGCATTGAGCAAGGATGACTGCTCCAGTGTTCTCAAGTGAAAAGATGCAGCCCACGTGTTGGGATAAGGTGATATGCTCCAAGTAGAGACTTAGAATCTCCACGACCAGGTTTTTGACGGTTGCCAAAACATTTTTTTGGACAGAGAGGCTGATTGGCCTAATGGATTTGCATCACCAAATTGTGCAGATGACGGTTGCATATAAATTGTCCTAATGGATTTGCAACACCAACGAAGAAGGGAGAGAGATAAAAGTATGGTTTGAGAAGTATTCTAATTCTTCATTGATAATAATGTGAAGAGAGATTACTCTATATAGAGATTGATGGTGTAAATTACTTGACCGGTCAAACCATACTAGACCGGGTCTAGAATAGTTTGCTTGATTTGGCAAAGTAAGAAAGGCAAAAACTCGCAGATTGACCGGTAAGACTTTAGGTGGAACACCTGTAGCTCAATTTATATTATAACGGAGTGATATGGAAACCTACCCTATCATCTCGGTGAGGCTCAATAATGTTGGGCCAACTGGGATCGTACTCAAGAACGTACCCCTCTTGTAAACCTCAGAAAGGGGATCCGAATTCATTTTCTCTAAACTCCCTTGTAAAAGCACCCGTGCATTCTCCGTGATGGTGTAAATTACTTGACCGGTCAAACTATACTAGACCGGGTCTAGAATAGTTCGCTTGATTTGGCAAAGTAAGAAAGGCAAAAACTCGCACATTGACCGGTAGGACTTTAGGTGGAACACCTGTAGCCCAATTTATATTATTTGGCAAACCTGAGGTTTACAAGAGGTATATATACTAAGCTGGGGGGACAGGTCCACGTGTGCCCACGTGGGGGCACGCTGCTGATGTGGTGCGAGATGACTGTCCTTGAGCCGCCTTGTCATCTTGCGAGGGGGATCACCCCCCTTGTCGCGTTCTGGCTTGGAAATATTCCTCCAGCATCTCCACTGAATCCCCAGCAATGCCAACCGCTACAGT